TCTTTCTTTTCTTTCATTTTCAAAATGAGAATGAAAATAAAGCAATTAATTTACACAAACACATTTATCTTAATAATAATTTGATAATTGATAATAAATAGATAAAGTTGCAGTCAAAAGTATAATATAATTTAATGAAAAATTATTATAATTTCACTTTTTTCTTTCTATTTATTTCCATTAAAATATGAATATTTGTATATGATAATTAGAAAAATATTGGAAGTAATCATATGAAAATATAATTTGATAATAAATGATAAAAGTTCAAATGTGATAAACTCGTTTCGTACAAAAATAATTTCATTAATATTTCGATTTCTGATCTTTCTTTTTTGATGAAAAAATTTGATTTAATTTAAAATAAATAAATCTCTTATATTTGACATAGTATATGCATTGTTAAATACAAATGCATATTATTAGATTAATTTATTTTATCAAAATTTATTATTATCAATTAAACAGCTTATTTATGAAATTAAAATACGATTAATTCTGTCTGTGCGCTGTGAATTATCTTTGCTTAGTTAATATTATTATGTAAACAAAAATTAGAAGTTGGAATTTTGTTAAAAAATGTTTAAACAGTTAAAATTTTCGTGTTTTTTTTTTTTTTTTTTTTTTTTTTTTTATCAAATGTTTTTTAAGTTATTTTTTCCTAAATTTTTGAATAAAAACTTTCAGTAAAGTTATGTAACATTTTTGATCTAAGCTGAATTTATGTATGATAAATTAGTAAATTATTGTTAAAATAAATGCGTTTGTTTAATTGATTTGCATCCGTGTAAATTAATTTTCTTATTTTTCATTTTCATCCTAAAAAAAGGGGAAAAAAGAAACGATCAATAAAATGGTTTCTAGAAAAGTTTGTTTTTCAAAGAAAAATGAAAGTAAGATACGAACAAATGTATTACTTTCAACAGATACATATATACAATTGCATGTTAAAATCCATTTTATGCAATTTATTACTTAAATAAATGAACAAATTAAATAAAATTTATTTAAATAAACATTTACTTTGAAATTTTATTTTATACAAATTGCTACATAATAATAATAATAATAATAGTAATAACGACGATACTATAATATGTGAATATCTTATAACATTTTAATAATTTATTGTTAGAATGAAATGTCTAAAATTACTGCGAATAATATTTTCCAATTTTTTTGAAAAACTTTAAAACTAACACAACTAATAAATTTTTGGCATCAATTTTTTTTTTTTTTTTTTACATTAATGAAGTTGAATTAATGAAATTGAATTGAATACTAAAGATGTTCAACAATTTAAGCAGTACTATTTTATTAGACAAATTTTTTTTTTCTAGTTTTCAATTATTTGAAGTTTAATTCATAAATGTTATGAATGACTGAATGATAAGCAAATAAATTGAATGCAATATTATTTAACATTTAATAAATTGAAAAAAATTTCATCAAATTGTACATTTGTGTACTATATTTATTTTTCAAAAAATTTTTCTCAAAACTCATAAAAAAGTTTAAAAATTTTAATAAACAACTTTGATAATATTAAGTGATATTTAAAGATCTGATAATAAAACTACAAATAACATAACAATTAAAGCATTTAATGAGTGAAAGATGTAATTTCTCAGTACATAAAAAGAAGACAATTGAACAAGGATGAAAAAACTAAAATAATGAATTTAAAATGAGAAATTTTTCCTTTTTTTTTCATTAATTTGTAAGCATTCAATTTTATTATATATTAATTACTAATTACTTTTATATAAATATATATGTAATGATTGTAAGATGATATAATGATAAGACTAATCACCCATTACTTTTATAAATATTAAAATGATATCATATTACAGAATTGTTAATATAGCAAAAAAGAAAAAAGAAAAACTGCAATATCTGAATTAAATCATTAATCTGTGCCATTTGCATTATTATAAAATATCAAAATTATCCTGCAATCTATGGTTTTATTTTCACAAACATATTTAAAAATAAATCTTTAATCAATAATAGAATAATTTCTCTCAATAGAAAAATATTTTATTTTAAAAATTTTTTAGCTTTTTTTTTTGAAAAATAATAAAACTATTACTGAATAGATTAAAATATTAAAAAAGTGGAAAAGAAAGAAGGAAAATAACACAGAACTTGAAATAAAAATATAAAAAAAAAAAAAATGAGAATTTATATAAAATAAAAATTTAAAAAAAAAAAAAAAACGAGAAAAGTAAATTTTAATTTAAAAATTTATTTTTTATTTTCATTATAATTTTAAGGCAGTTAGTTTTATTATAATTTAAGGCAATTACAGATCAATTAAATACCATTGGTGTAATGATCCATGAAATTAATTTTAGCAATGATTACAACACAAAGAAAATGAATCATGAAATATAACGTATATTACAATACTTTGAGTATTTAATTCAATTCCGTCTAATTTAATTTTGTATAATTCATTTCATCAATGTTAGCATTTCAAAATTTTTCCTACAAACGTTGAATGTGTTAAATAGTTTGAACAATTTCACCTAAAAATTGGGAAATATCATTTTTAGTAATTATACATGAAAATTATCAACTGTTAATTTTCATCAAGCTTTTAAAATAATTTATTATCAATAAAAAGAATAAAAAATTTGAAGATTTGAAAATTTAAAAATTTGAAAAAAATTATGAATTTGGAACAATCGTTGAACAATTAATAATAATAATAATAATTTTAATAATAATGATAATAAGAGTAATAATAATAACAATAATAATAATAACATCAATAATAATAATAATAATAGCAATAGTAATATATGATAATCATAATAATAGTAATGATAGAGATAATAATAATAGAGGTAATAACAATAATAAAAATAATAATAATAACAATAATGGTAATAATAATAAATAATAATAGCAAAATTAATAGAATCACTTGTTTACTTTACTTTACTAATACTTGTTAATTAGTCTTTACACAGTTACTTTATTGGACTAATGATAGTCCTTTGACTTATTTTTGTTAGCTTCAAAAACTGATGTATAGCTGTTAATTATATTTTGATAAGCTAACTTGTAATCTTGACAAGAAAATGCATAATTGTATGTTTTATAGTTGTAGGCTACATTACACATTAATTCCGACATGAAATCCAAATCCACTACCAATCCGGAAAAAAGTATGCTTAATCCGTCCTAAAAATGCAAGGGAAGGAACAAGGATGGAATTCTGCCTTAGTGGTTTTTTTTTTGCTGGAAAATATTTCCGGAAATATCGTATCTGCTGGCCAGATGCCAATTCTTGGAATGGCTCAGAAAGCGTCTGGGAGCGATTTTAGGCCAAACGTGAAAGTGTTGAGAAGATGGGGGAGACGGGAGATTGCGTGCGTGAGTGGTACTTGTTTGGGTAAGTGGAGAGATATTCGGGTAGACAACGGGTTGTTTACGTAAAGCTAAATACTAAGGTACTTGAGAAAGGTAAAGGTAAACAGGTGAAGGTAATGGTTTTGGTTAAGGGGGTGGATTATTTAGTGAGAAGTAAGGTGTGACTAAAAGATACTTCGACAGGTAGAAAATTGTTTGGATAAGAGCTTAACTGAAGCTTTCTTACGTCTTATACGTCAATTTAATCCAAAAAGAAAGGAATGTGTTATATGAAGAAATGTGTCAAAAGAAAATGGAATTTTGGTAATTGGGCATAAATTTCTACAATGATTTAGAAAATATGTAGGAACGATTTTAGGTCAAATGTAAAAATGTAGACATGTCGCATAACATGAAAGCTAACGTAAAACCAAATACTGATCTCGACATTTTTACAGCGTTTATGATTTATATTTTTTTCTTTCTTCTTTAATTTGTTACTATTTGCAGCAAATCTTTATTTAGCAGAGGTAAAAATATCGGCTTCAAGTGTAAGGCTTCATCTGAAAGTACAGACAATTCACTATTTGTGTCTATATTTGTCAATTCGCTTCTATTTATAACCTTTTACTTTTGTTATTATTTCAGCTCTTTTTTAGAATTTAAGTCTTTATTAGAAAAAAAAAATGAATTAAAGATCTTAGAATTTTGCTAATATATATTACTTTAACGCTGAATCTTATAGAATTCTCATTCAGGTTTTAAATTCATGACTGATCTTTTGAATATAGTGACAAGTCGTATTAGAAATGTAGTTCACAGCTACTCTGTGTTTTTTAAAGTGTTTTTAGAATTAGATTTTTATAAAGTACAAATTACGAAAAATTTTAAGCCCTGAATTTAGAAAAAAGTCAGATGCAATGAGTGGTTGGAAGATTTGAAATCGTAAATTTCAACTAAAATATTTCTTAAAGTTATACTCTTTCTCTCAGCAGTTACACTCTTTCTGTGATGCTTTGCACCCCAATATATTTGTAACTCATTGTTCTTGACGACAATGATGTAATAGGTTTCTTCTTAATTTCCTTAAAACTTCTAGTTAATTTTATATCATAGCATCCAGCATTACTCTGCATTTACGGTACTCGAAATATAGTTGAATGAAGGTTAAAATTAAGTTCAAATTTTATTATAATTAAGATTTGAAATAATTGTTGGAAGGATATTGTAAATACGCAGTAATTATGCGATGGAAAGCAGAAAAAAGTAACTAAGTAGAGGTTTTCTCATTTACAGTTGAAATTAATTTTCAAAGTAGTTCACCAATTCTTAAATTATATGGAAGAAGTGAATTTTAGTTCAAATTTCCGGGAAACCTTCGAAGTATTTTGTCAATGCTTTCGGCAGTTTAACTGATAAATAGGTTAGATAAGTTCAGTTAGATAGAGGAAGAGATCAGGAGGTTAGAATGATTATTTTGTTATTAAATAGAAAGTCATTAGGTCTTAAAGCATCATTAAAATCCCTTTAAGCATCAAAGATTAAAACATTATTGGAGGATAAGAGAAACTCCTGAAAATATAAATACAAATCTTCGGTGACAGAATAGAAGCGCATTCGTTGAATTTGAGGTCAAAATGGAAACAACATCGACTTCGGGCAGCAATTTGTTGAAGAATCTTTGCGAGCAGTATGATCAGGAATTGGCCAGCACTGAAGTAGATCTTGACGTACATGTTAGCTTTTATTTTATTTACATACGGGCATGATAGTAAGAGAAAATAAAACTCACACATATGTAGGTTTAATGATAAAAAATCTACGATATACTATCAGTATACGTCACATATTAGTCTCCTTCATAACTTGCATCTTGCATATGTTGTTTTAAGGATTCATGTATTTTTACAATTTTTTGGCAGAAATGGGAGAAAAAACAAGAATGTTTTTTTCTTTTATCAATATTTCGTGCTATTATGTTATCTTAGGAAAAACTTATAAAGCTCATGAGGGATAACAGTACAATTAATAAAGAACAATTGTTATCGGCACAAAAAAATGCGAAAGAAACGGAAAAAGAGTTGCAGCTGCTGGATGATATGACAAATGAACTTGTTCAAAGGTTCTTTTTTCAAATACGCATGCATTACTCATGAATTTAAAATTTGATTCTTTTCAAACTATTGCTTCTACTTGTTTTATGAACTTTCAGTACTAGTTTACAAGGCGAAAAAATTGAAGAACTGAAACACGTGCAGCAGGAAAATATGAATGATATCACTAATGGTTGGTAAAATTCCTGGATTTCTCTATAAGAGCTTGTATTAGACAGAAATATAGTTGTCCCGAATCCTTATGAGAGGAAAGTAAACTATATTCGCCTTCTGATCTTTGAAGTGAAATATGATTTCACATTTATAATCACATTGCATACTATGTTTAGTTTGTTATGATGCAGATCATTCAGAAGTTAATCGAGCATATTCTGACATTGGATACTTTTCTAGCCATTATCAGTTTGGATATAGATCTAGAGCCAAAAAATATGAGGTTAGAGTGAAATGACGGAATCTACTTATTTTTTTTTTTTTTTTTGATATCATTTAAAAATATTCACAGCCAGTTGGTCAATATAATCTTCAAATAAATTTGCACAAGGGGTTACAACCGCAATATTTCGATTTCATTCCGGAAATTTGAAATTGCACATACTAAATAAATATTGCAATACTAGAGTGCCAGACAGATATTTGATCAAATCACTATGCAACTTTTACTCTAAACTTTTATAGATATAATAATCATTTTACTATATGAATGTTTTGACTATAAATAATAACAGGTCGATAAAGACTTGAATCAGATTATGTAAAACTCTTTTCTTTACTTCTATTGATATTATAAATACAGATTTATTCTGTGCAAATATTGGGTATTAGCGTAGAAACGCCTTAATGACAGTAATAAGTACTTCTAGCTCAACAGTGCCTGCGTGCCGCTCAAAATACTGCTCGCGAAGATTTGGAAAAGTTGCATTCCACAGAAAGAGATGCGCAGAAATTTTTAGAAAGCAATTTTGTTTCACCAAATTTTTCCAGCGGTAATGAAATTATTTGTGGGAAAATTGCCATTGAATTTTATTTTTCTTCATATGATAATAACTTTCAGTTGCTTTAAAATTGCAAAATCTCCAGGAAACGTTCACTTCAAAAATACAAGAATCAATCGACCATTTAGCTTCAGTGGTTTGCCTCTTACAGTTCCTTTATATTCTTTAATAAAAGTTCAATATTTTTGATTTCGTACAGTAGCAATTAAAATTTTGTAAATTCAATATAACAAATTTATATCGTGAATAGTGTATCGTTGTCTTCAGATTGTGTAATTATTGATAGTATGATTAATATGGAAATGAGTAAAAACCGATTTGACTAACACGTAGGCAAATAAATACTTCCAATCTTAGAACCATTTAGTGTACGTATATATATTAATGATAGCTGATTATATACCAATTAAGAATCAGTGTTATAACGATATATGTTCTGTGCCAAATTGCTTGTTTAGATATCAATTGCGGATGAAGCTGGTCGGCTGGAGAATCTCGAGGAAGTTGTAAAAGAAATGAGAATGGATGTCGTGAATGTGGAGGGACAAATTAGTAAGTACTGAACAATCAAAGATGAAGAATTTTGAATGAATGTATCATCCTTTGCTTTTTGATTATCTCATAATAAATCAGCTGTTAATAATGTTAATAATGGTTAAATTTAGGTGAAGCTGATTCACAGTATTCAGTTTGTCATGAGAAAATCGGCAAGTTAAATGCGATGCAGGAAGAGGAAAAGCAACGACGAAATGCCATATCGGAAAAATACAGACAACGTAAGAGACGTGTTGCGGAACTTACGCGTTCTCTTAACGGTCGTAAGAACGAGAAAAAGGTGCTTTCTGAAAGCATAAATTCTAAGCAGCAGGAATTGGTTAGTATTGTATAGTTTTGCAAAAATTTCCTTTTTCTTACGATTTATGGATAAAATCTAAATGCATATTATTTTGTATCAGTACTGTCTGTGTCCTAATTTTTTTTTTTTTTTTTTGAAAAAAATTTTTTTTCAATTTCAAAGTTTCTGTTTACATTTGTTATAGGACAAAAACAAGGAACGTTTTGACAAAAAGAGTGCTGATGCTGCAGCTATTAGGCAAGAAGTGGACATAATAAAGGACAAATTAGCTAAACTTGAAGACATTGTGAAACTTGAACAGACGAAGCATGAACAAGAAGTTCTAGAAATTAAGGTAGATGGGCGTTCTCTCTTAAACCATCATAAGTCAAACATTGTCTTGATTAGATGAATGACATTTCTAAAGCTGTTTTAAGATCTGTGGCCATATGAACGCGGTTTTATGGCACTTTACGGAATAATCCTATGTTTCTAATAACGTTTTCTCAAGAACTCGTAAATTTAGATGTTTATTTTTCATAACTTTTGTTTTCACTTGCAATTTATTTTGACTAATTAACACTTAGGAGCGAGGTGAAGCTGAAATATGTGCTGCGAAGTCAGTTTTGATGACTCTGCGTGAAAAAAAAAGCGCTATGCTTATGCAGGTAAATAGCGAAGGCTTTGGTCTTTCTATATGATCCGTAAGGAAGTAATGACATCTAGCACTTTGCTGTGTTTATCATTTATTAAAAGCATTTGTATAACTCTTTTTGATTCTTTTATTGTTATTTATAATGCTCACCAAAAGATTGTTCAGGTTCAGCAGGCTCGTGATGATCTCAATAAAAAATCAGAGTTGGAAGCTCATAAGAAAATCAACGAACAAATGGAATTGAATTTAAAACAGCTCAATCAGGAGAAGGCAGAACTTCAGCTCGCACTTGACGAGAACGAAAACCGTCTCAATGAACAAGTTCCAAAAATTTTCTACTTGTCTAAGTTTAAGTGCTTACCACGAATTTCCATTAGTATGGATGGAATAAGGAATATTATTTTGGCTTGTTAACTTTGTGTCCGTTTTCTCCATGTTTCAGATACAATAAAAATTTCCAAGGGAAAGTGTTCTAAATGGTTTAAGTAGTTCACGAAGATGCACTGTAATTCTCTAATTCGATAACAATAAATTTATTTTTCAGCTTTCTGCAATGAAAGCTATGAAAATCACATTTCAAGATAACAAGCTGGATGCTTCGAAGAAACGTGAGATTTTGATGGCAGAAGTAAAGCGCATGAGTGAAGAGATTCAAGGCTTGAAACAGAAGATTGCGGTTAGTCAGTCTCTGGTGAACATACTTTATTGATTGAGAAAGCAGTCTTTGTATTGTTAATTTATAAAATTCAAATAGCTTTTGTAGGGTTTATAGTTGCAGCTTCAGTATTTATGCTTCATAAATATGAATAAGGAAAAATTGCTTCTTCATGGAACCTTATCATTATTTTATAAAGGAAGAAGAACAACGCCTTAAGGCTAAAAAGAAAACTGTGGATAGGCAGTTAAAGATAGTAACTGTTGGCAAGAATATTAGTACACTTCTGCGCAGTGCTGTTGAAAACGATGGAAAATCTCGACAAGATTGCGCAAAAGCAACACAAGGATCTATTATGGTGGATCAAGAAGGAACAATTCAAAAATCACAAGGAGCAGAATTTGATATGGTTATTTCCCATTTTTTTCGTTTAAACTTTATATTATTACGTTCATCAGTCCAATTTTTCATATTATTTCTTAGTGTTTTTTGATTTAAATTTTATTACATTTACTGTAAATGTAAATGTAGTACTTTATTTCTAGAGATTTAGTCTAGCGGTGGTTGTTTTAATCTTTTTCATCTTTCTTTTTCGATTGTGGTACCATAGATTTGAACTTGAATGAGCAATACTAAGGATTTTAATTAGAAATTAAGAAAATGGCGATATCAGAATTTTTATACGTATCTTTTTCGATTTATACTTCATATTTACTGTGAATGTGGTACCTTATTTCTAGAGATTTGTTAAGGATAAAATTTGAACTCCATTTCCGTGAATAGGTAAAGAAAAATGAGGAGAGTGTTAAGGATATTAAGACGGAGAATTCTAACAACAAAGAAATCGTTATTCGGGAAACTGATTCTCGAGAAATGATGCCAGAAAAAAAGCCTGGAAACAATGAGGAAGTTTGTATATTTATTAAAATTTGCTTTAATTTTAAGCAGTTTCACAAATGTACAGGACTAAAGCGTTCTTACTAGTCCTTTTACAAGTTTTCTCCTTTCATTAATTAGTTAAGTTTTAGATGGCTCCAAATTTTGATGTGTCAGAGACCAAAAAGCTGTTTCTCACCACAAAAAAAGACGAAGGAAGGGAGATGATACATGCGCCAAGCATTGAACAACAAGGTATATCATATTCTTCAGATATCGAAATTCTATAAACATGAGCATTAAGTTTTATTGCACGTTACTCAAAAACTGTTTTGTTTTTAGGACTGGAATTGTCACAACCAACTACAAAGTATAAGGTGTCGAGACGCCATCGCGCAAAGCAAAATCTTTCAATTTCGGATGCTGTAGCAACTGCACCGGGCCCATCAAAAAGAGGTCGACAGGCTCGTAAAAAAAGTGAACCAGGGAAGAGAAAGACAGATCAGTAAGTCAATTGTTGTCTGAATCATAACTAGTATCATTAAAGAATTTACTATTTATGTTGTTTTTCCAGCGATTTGGCGCTCACACTTTTCGATAGTGACATGTCAATGAGCACCATCAAACCGATACATGCCTCAACTCCACTGCTTCAGAGGTACGGTTTTTTGATAGTTTTGTAACTGATCTTGTTTTATCATTTTATTAACCTTAGATTGAGGTGCACTGATTACACTTTCAGAAAGGATGATTCTTCGATTTATAATGATGCAATTAAAAACACGCAAAAGACGCAAAAAAGTCGTGGAAAACCGAGAGGGAAAAAAGTGAGCTTACTTTAATACTGCATCTGTTTATGTAATAAATGTTATGTAATAAAATGGAATATTTTTCAGGCAGCAACAGGAATACTTGCTGGGAATGGTAGTTCGAAAGTTCCGAAAAAGAAAGATGCTTATGACTTGGACAGTGATTTTGAATAAATCAAATTGATAAACAAATGTTTAAGCTAATTTTTTCTTCTTTTCCACTTTTTTTGGTCAAAAAATGTTTAAGCTAATATTCTTTCTTTTCTTAACGTATTTCGACAGTTTCTAATTATACGAGATTTGACCTTATGTTTCTTGATTTTTTGATCTTTTAGTGTGTTTAATATTGATTTTGAATTCTGTTTGTTTCTAGTTGTGTTGTTCAGCATTCACCGCTGTCTACCTTAATATCATTGGCTCATTTGATTCAAATTATTTAAATCAGTTATATATTTTGTCTAATTAGACAACCTCCTTAAAGCAAGTAATTTCAGGGTGGTAGCATTAGAAAGAACGGAATTAAGCTTTATTAACCTTTAAAAGGCAGAATTTACTTTGTTTCTGTTGAAACGATTTGTTTGCGTTTCAAGTTCTAATCACATGTTAAATTTTTGTATTTGTTTCTGTTGAATAAAGTTTTTTTTTTTTTTTTTTCTTCGAGTGTACTTAGAATTTTTGGGTAAAACCATATGTAAAATTTTTCATGGTACATTTGTCATAAATGCAACTTGGTTAAAGTCATGGTGAATTAAACTTACTTTCACTAACTAACTGACTCTGCCTTGTATTCCATTTCTGAAAAGTAGACGAAAATTTAGGATAAAGTTTAGTGGATTCTCAATGGTCATTTCTAGTGCTGCATCGGTTTCTGCCGGTTTTGCATAACATATTAAATTAATATCTGCTCAGTTCTTCATAGGGATTTTTTTTTTTAATTTTAAGATTCTCGGTTTGACATTTTCTAACGAGGAATCGACAATTATTCGGGAATGCATGTTACGGAGAAAGAGCGATGTGTACTTATGTTTATTTTATTTGAACAATTGACAATTAAATTTCTCATTAAAACTAAGACGTAATTATAAAACCAATTTCCTAATTCTAATAGTTCATTTTGTGTAGTAGTTAATTTTACTCTACTTTTATCGAAATATAAATGTAACGTATTTAAGAACAAATTGTTATTATTTATTGTACTCATAAATTAATTACTAGTTATTTAATAATCAATCATTTATTTGGAAATAATTCATGAGAATATATCACGCACAAAGAATATAGAATTCTTAATTCATTAATAACATAATTGTTGAGGGGGAATGATTTGAATATTTTTCATGTTTCAGAACTTTCTTAATTATTGTAAAATATTTTTTCAGATGAAATTTCGAAAAGTATGAGAAGGAGTTTGCAAAATTTGAAATTTGAATTTTCATTCACAAATAATTCAAAGATGTGACATAAAATGAAGGTATGAAAGTATGAAAGAATTTTTTTTGGCGTAATTTTTCTTAATTAGAAATGTTATGCTTAATGTAATAGATTTGATTTCTTTCTTTTTTTTTTCCCTTTTAATTCGTGATTTTTGTTAATGCATGAGTAATTCATTATAAAATAACCACAAAATTATCAAAATTGCTAATTTAAAAAACTTAAATTTAACGTTAGAATTTTGTAAAATTTAAAAAATGCAGTTTAATCTAACTTATACAAAACTTTCAAAATAGATTGCTTGCTTATTTTAGAAATATTAATTTATTACAAAAAAAAAAATTTTTTTTTCAACAAGCTAACTTTATCTTTTTTCTTTCTGGTAACATTTTCATAAACAGTCATATTATACAACAATGTAAAATAAAAAATACAATCATAACATATTCAATTTTTGTATTAATTGATCCAAGAAATCATGAATTTGAGAATCGGTTGCTGGACAATGCGTCTTTCGCAACAAATCCTTAAATGTATGCTACTTAAATGCTTACTATTTCATTAATACATAGTACTATTCATAAATAATTCCAAAAAAAAAAAAAAAAAAAAGGCAAACTTAAATAATAGATTTATAGTGTCATTCCAACATTTACAAAATCTAATATGCTTTTTATAGATTGCACAAGAATATAACAACTTTATTATCTTTCTCTCACTCATTTCTTTTTTTTTTTCTTCTTTTCTTAGAAAATATATCATTTATTCTAAAAAAAAGTATGGAAATTAAACAAACAAATAAAGGAAAAAGTACGACTTACCATTATATAATGACGTCGCTCTAATTCTGTACTGAGATCAAGAATTGCATCAACATCAATATCAATATTATCCTGAATTAATAAGAAAATATTTGACATAATTAAAATGAATAGCCAATAAAATTGATTTATACATTTCAGTAATATACATTTAAAAATTGGCTGTTCTTTTTTTGCACATTATTTTTATAAACGATCAGGAATATTAATCAATAGAATGAAAAGTAATCAATAAGCCGGAACTTCACTCTATGTAATCGAGAATTTCATCCATATATTTCAGAATAAAGCAATGTTAATAAAGATTTTAAATTATTTGTAAAATTTAGAAGAAGATTACCGTAGCAGATTTGTAAAGTTCATTTAGTTGGTCATCAATCCAACTTTCCACATTCATTCGTTTCTTAATTAGCATCATTTGATGCTTACCATATTTCATCGTTAGCATACGACTTCGTTCATTTGTCTGCAAAGTTAATCATAAAATTGACATATTTTACAATACTTAAATAAACTAATTGAAGTTTTGAATTTATTATGTTTGAAAAAAGAAATCGGGAAAAATGAACAATTATTTGCAGCCTTCTCTTTATTTGTTAAATTAATTGGCTTTCTTTTTTCTTTTTCTGACTATTCTTTCGTTCAAAAAATAATAGATTTTCACAATTGCTTATTGTTTAATCGTTGATTATCATGCATATATTATTAGCTTAAATAAAATTAATTTAATTAATCCAATTTTTTATCAACTAAGAGAATTTTTCAAATTTTACTAATTTCTATCAAATTATCCCTCAGTACATTTAACTAGAAAAAGAAAAAGCGAAAGAATGAGATATAAAGTTTGAATGTAAAATTTTACACAAAATAAGATTTAAATTTTAAACTGGATTTTAATAAACAACATAAAGTATTTGTTGTAAAGAGATTAATTATCACACATCAATTAATTTTAAAGCGTATCTAATTGGTGAAAAAGCAAGTCCTATAAAAATTAAACAATATTTATACACTAAAATTTCCTTTAAATTTCGATTTTTCAAAGAAATGAGAAAAAAAATTTGATTTTTCTTTTTGTATTTCATAGAAATTTTCACAATTTATTACTCGTTTTAATCACTACTTATAATAACAGTAAAAATAATTTTTTTTTTCTTAACAATAACAAATATATTAATGTGATTCAAATTTATTTCTACATGTATATGTTAATGCAAAAATTATTTGTGTGTGAAAATATTTATAACTTCTTAAATTAAAATTAATCTTTAATAAAATATTTTGAAATTTTGAAGTATCAAATTAAGTAATATATATCAATTTTTTTTTTTACCATGACGAGATAAAAAAACTTATGGTGAATTTATCCGCAAATCTACGAACTTTCTTCTTTCTCTTAAAAATCAACATTAAAAATTACAAAATGCTTCTTCCTTCCTTTTTTATTTTTATTTCAGTATATTAGGAAAAATAAAAAGATTTTTTGAGCAATAAAATAAACTTAATTATCCTGTTTAAGTCCAACATTTTCTAGGCAATTTTTATTGCAACAAAATTGTAGAATACTAATCCAATTTAAAATTGTGCTAATTTAATGAAAGAGGAAAATTTTTAAAGGAAAAATTTTCAAATTATATGACAAATTTTATTGTAGATAAAAAACGAAGTATTTGGCATTTATAAAATTTATTTGCTAACATTTATATTACTAGTAAATATCAACACAATTCATATGAGTCATATAGTGGGAGTAATATTTTCAGATTAGATTCATCAATTTTATGGATTTCTTATTGGCAAGTTTTTCATATACGGAAAATTTTTGAAAAATATGTTAGGATTGTCTAAATTAGTTGTCCTGACTATTTAAATTCGATTTCAATTCTTTCTTTTTTTTTTTGTTTTTTTTTGTTGCGAAGACTTTCATATATAATAATTTCATATAAAAAGATAACAAAAGTATAATTTAAATTGATAATAATTTCAAAAAAAGAAAACTTATGTACTATTGCAACTTAGTTAATATGAATAGTAAACTATAAACGTAGGATTTATATCATTTCATTATATTATTAAACATATACAATTATTTCTAGTTCAAAAACAACTATCATTTTCAAAACAAATTGAAAATTTTTCCATAGTGTTTGCTTTTTCTTTTTTTTTTTTTTCATGGAATTATTACACACCAATCTGGTAATTTCATCGAATCATTCCAAATGTGTATACTGCGTTTGTGTGTAAAAATAATAATCCATGAAAAAAAAAAAAAAAAAAGAACGAACGATTTCAACTTTAACTGGTAAATGAAAATCAATAGGAAGACATTATTCCTAAAAACCAAAAAAAATTTTTCGCCACTTCATCTTCTTTTCTTCTCATTTTAGATGATTTAATTTTGAACATTTTTGTTGTTTCAAATTTCGTTTTCCAAAAATAAATAAAAAATTGAAATAATATTTGATATAGAAAAAACGGAAGGATTTTATTCATAGTTTTTGCTTGACCAGATGGAGGGAAATAGATTAAATTACACTTCCTAAATGTAAACCTAAGGTTGAAAAATTAGCAATTTTACAATATAAGCACGTAAATTGCTCTTTAAAGCTTATGCGAACTTTAAATTTATATTAGATTAAAGTTTAAAACGAATGAAAACTCAAATTAAATTCTTAAAATATATACAAACATATTGGAATAATTTATGGAGAAAGAGATGTGAATATTTGAAGAGAGAAAAAAAAGCAATAACCTTTCGGATTTTTTGATCATTGAAACGGGCATGTTTTGCCATATTTTCTGCCATTATTTGCTGTACTTTTAGTGAATCTGCCAGAATATATTACAATTTTAGGAATTAAACACTGCAGCTTAAATTTTGTCTTTTTTTTTTCAAAAAAAAATGTTTCGAACAGTTGCTTCTTCTTTCAGTCCAGATTTCAACAGATGCTTGTTGTATTTGAAAATATCGCTAAAATAATTTCAAATGCCTTCAGGCAAAATTAATTGATCTTATATTGAAATGGACGAAGGATTATATTCAAAATGATTTTATTTTTACATTCCAGTAAATTAAATGTATTATTGTTCTGCCTAAGAGCGAAAATTTACTTTCAAATAAAATTATCACTAAACTATTAATTGCTATGAAATTTCAAACAATAATTCTATTTAAGAAGATAATACCAGAAGCATTTAGACGATTTTTTTTTAAACTTATTAAAAATGCATTAAATTAACATAAAAATGTATGAATTGTTTAAGACGATGAAATATCAGTATTGGTATTAACACATTTCAACAAAAAAAAAAAAAAAAAGAGAGGAAAATCTTTTTAAAAAATTGAAAATGAAATTTCCAATTGGTTCAAAAAAAAACTATTATGATGGCAATATATATATAAAGAATGTTTGATTATGAATGCCAGTAGTGCATAAGTGATGAAAAAAGAGAGAAAAGAAAATGATGAAATAAAAATAGAAAAATAGGATAAAATAAAAACAAAACAGCCTAACTGTTTGCTATTATTTTCAGTTCATTGTTTAATATAATAAATGAAAAAAAAAAAAAAAACTTTTGGTATTGATGAATGAATACAAGTAATAAAAATGAAAGATCGATGAAATTAATTTAATTTAATTTAAATGATCATCTATGCTTTCTATGTCTACAATATTTTCCATTTCTAAGTGTTTTAAATATCTCAAAAATTAATGCTACTATAACATACCATCATAGCATCATTATCATTATTATCATCGGCTTCAAAAATGTTATCGATGAAAAGAAGTGGGGAAGCTGTTGGAATGGTAGTATGAAAGGGAGTAGGATGGGTTTAACTCTCAATCAATCATTAAACGATGAAACAATATTTTGAACATATTAAATAGAAATAAAAAGTTGAATGATATATTAATTAATGATAGAAAAAGATTTTTCTCAATCAAAACTGATAAAAAGAATTAGCTTAATTATTTTTTTTTTCTTCCTTATTCCCTGTTGATTTTATCATATTAATCATATCAGAATTATTGAAAATTATTACTGGAAAAATTGGAAATGATAATAATTAATGTTGCATATACATTGAAACGAAAATGAAAAAATAAAAATGCTCATAACGATGTACAAATCATATCCTTTTTCATCAACAATAATATACAATGATGATAACTGATTATAGGAGATGAATGATTAGTGATGATTTGGTCTTTCAATGATAATTGAGCGCGGGTGATGAATGAATGATATAGAGTGACCACAAGGCATAATAATGAGTTGCTCTTTCTGTTTCATAAGTCGATAAAACTTCAGATTTCAATTCCGGTTGAAATTTTAGATTGATAGTACAATAATTGTTCCTTTTCCTTTATTATCACTTATTGTTGATATAAATGTTATTTCTTCTTATCGACATAAATAATTATCAATAATATGCTACCTTTTTTTCTTTCATCTAATTCTTCTTGAAAAATATTTGCTTAAACTGACAATTTCTATATCAAGCATCATTTATTTTCAAAATTTATCGAGAAAATATGTGTGGTGCTAAAATATATAGAATAGCAAATTCAAACGATAACGACAAAATAAAAAAAAAAAAAAAAACAATGACAGCAATCGAAATCTTAAAGTATTTGTAAAAAAAAATTCAATGATAGTAATACAAAACGATATCTTGATATCGAGCTAACATAGCAAAGAAATATTACATGTAAAACCCATCCATATATGTAATTCTTGCACGTAAATGCACGTAAAATCTACATATGCGTACTCTTAATCCTTCCGTAATGCACGTAAAATCCACATATGCGTACTATCAATCCTTCCATAATGCACGTAAAGCCCACATATGCGCATCCCCAATTCTTTCGTAATGCACGTAAGATCCACATATGCATGCATTTAATTTCTATGTATTCCTTTATATTTCACATATTGTCTCAGACAATTAAAATTGCTAATTCTATCGAATGAATCACCCCAAAAAAAAGACAAAATTCAAACTTAAAAAAAATATTAAAAAAAACTTAATACCTTAAAAATGTGTCGAAGATGATAATGATGACAAGACAGAAAAGAGAACATTATCATGAATAATAGTAATAATGTGGACAATAATGACAACAATGATAAAAATAGATTAGTGACGGTAACGACAATTAGATGATTTAAATGACGACCATAAATAACAGCGATGAATTTGATGTTGATAACGGCAACGAGAGCACAGCTCAATGAAAATAGTAGTAAGGAAATAGTATTGCTGATGACTGCAACAATCTAATAATTATTAACAATAATAATGAATAATAATGGTAATACTACCCAAAACTACCCAAAAAACATAATAAAAATTAAAATCGTAACAAATACTTAAAAAATCATAATCAAAATTAAAAAAAAAAAAAAGAAATTATAATCAAAAACAAAAAACAAAAAAAAATAAAAACAACAAAAAAATAGCCATAATTATAATAATAATTACAGCCAGAAATACTACAAAAATAAGTTAACAAAGAAAAAATACCACTCAAAAAAATCAATACAATAAAATAAGAATATCACACATGAACACCCAAAGAAATATAACAACTTATAAATAAAATACCTAAACATATCATGATGCAACTTTTCATAGGATCCCAATCTAAAAAACTTAAGCAAAAAAATAAAATAGATAAAAAAAAAAAACTAAAATAAAAAAAAATATAACAAAAAAGTCAAAAAATCCAAAATAAAAAATTCTATAACTTTAAAAAATAGAATAAAATCTTTAGTTTTGAAAACTAAAAGTTTAAAAATTTAACCTAAATCTACAACTACTTACTATAATAACCATAACCAACACGACGGTATCTATAACTAGGGGTATTCTTACAAAAAACCTTTCAACATAGACCATAACCTAAAATATCTTCCAAAAAAGAATTAATAATAATAACAATGATAATAATAAATATAATTAATAATAATAGTAACAGTAACAATAATAATAATAATAATAATAGCAATAATAATGATAATAATAATAATAATAATAACAGTAGTAATAATGATAATAATTATAATAAAAATTAAAATAATAATATAGTAATAATAATTTCCTATGAATAATAATTATAATAATAATAATTTAATGATGAAAATAGAAGCAAATTACAATCTTCCTGATAATTAGATTACGGAATTTGATTTAATAATTTTTTGCAATGTTCCTAACTTTTTTAAATCATATTATTACCATTAATTTTTTATAATAATGACTACAATTGTGTATGCACCAAGCTTCATACATTTGTTATAGTATTGTACACTTCGTCTCATCAAGGTCATCCACAAGACTAATCGCGTTCTTCCTATCAAAATTGACAGATCTTACAATAAATTCACTTCTGGATGCATTTGTAATAATGATGTCAACTTCCCAAGGAAATAACCTTTAAATAGTTCGAAACAATTTCTCATTTGGAATAGTTAATTGAGCATATAATCATCATTCATTTTCATTTAGTAAAATGCAACAATTCTCAGTTGTGAATTTAAAATTTTAATATGAAATTTGATTAATTCTCGTGATAGTTTTCATAGCTTTAAATTATTGCGTTTTAATTTTAATTTTAACTAATCTTATCTTCGAAATTACTAGCAAATAAGTTAACAGTGAAAAAAAATTAAAAAATTTATTTTATAATCATAGAAACTTCATTATTTTAACATGAAAAACACTCTCTGTAATATAATATTTATATTTACACTAATCTTTAAATATAATTAAATTTTATAGTACTATCATCAAAAATGATACACTTAGACGCAATTAAAAATGATAAGATGCAAATAGCAAATGTGTCATTGTCATTTTTTTTATTTCATTTTTCAATCATTGTTAACAAAATGCATCTGATTCATGAATTTTGTTTGTAAAATTGATTAAAAGTAAAGTGAAAAAAAGAAAAAAAAAACTAGCAAAACATAATATTGCTTTTAAGATTAATATTTGTCACAAAAATTATTCGAAAAAACAAAAAAAAAACTATTTTATAGGAGGGAAAAAAAAGTCATTTAAATGATGTGAAAATATTTAAGATATTATTTAGGTCTATGAAAAAGGCCACACCACTTATCATAGTGATGAAATCGATAAATAAGCTAAGACATTATTATTTCAAACTATTATCAAATGTTTGTAAGGTAAGATTTCTATAAGATTATTTGCAGCAAGCAGATCAAATAAATTAAATTATACTAATTATTTAGCAATGTGAATATAAAGTAAGAGAGAGAGAGAGAGAGAGAGAGAGCGAAGGAAAAAAAGCGAGAAAAAGAGGAAAAAAACTAACAAAAATTGTCATATAAAATAAAATTAAGCATTCATATTAATTTAAAAGAAAAAAAAATCAAAGAAAAAAAAAACGAGGAAAAAAAGAAGGAAATAGCTTTTTTTTCTTATTAAAAAAAAAAATTAATTTAAGCTAAGAATGAGTTAAAGAAAAAGAAATTAAAAAAAGTTTAAGCTAAAGTAGGTTAAAGCTTTCAAAAAAAAAAAAAAAAAATGTGAAAATAACGATATTCATAAGTTAAAATATTGCATTATTTCTTAAAACTAATCGAATAATGCTATCCTTTACAATTTTTTGTCCACACCATTTTTCATTTTGTTGAATTATTTAAATTAAAAATGATACATGTGACATCAGAGAAGAACTAGAAAAATTAATTGAGCATTCATTTGGCTTAGTATTATAGGAAAATAAATGAGAAATTAGTTAAATTATGCATCGCTTTTTTTTTCTGCTATTTCCCATAAATATTTTAATTTTTTCCTTCACAAAATTGGCAAATTCTCAGTTTCAGAAATGATTTCGCATCTTCTTTCCTTTTTTTTTTTTCTTGATGAATAAAAAGTAGGCGTAAAATTTAATTTATTTGTCAAAATTTTCCATTGAAAATAAATTAAATTTGTGTAAAAATGAGGAGGAATATTTTTTTAAAAAAAAGAAAGAAAAAAGAACGAAATAGGACTTTATTTATTTAAAAATTAAAAAAAAAAAAAAAGCAGAATAAATGTTTAAGTCAATTATTTCAAGATGATTGATTACATATAATCTAATATGGAAATAAAGCAAAATTCAGAAAATATTTAATTAAGAAAAAATTACAAATTGTAAACATAACAGATAGTAATTAATTAAACAATAAATAATTGTGTGAAAATAAATTCGAATCGATCATTTCATGCAAAATGATGTGTCAAATACATGAAAAGTCTCAGATAAATTGAAATAAATTATTTGAATGAATGACAAAAAATAATTTTTTAAATTTTCAGAGTTAATGGAAAATTTGACAAAAAAAAATTTTTGCTAAGAATTAATATTTTATTTCGAGTGGATGAAATATTTTGATCATTCATTTTCGTAATGCTTATCAAATTCAATGTTAGCATTTAGTTTCCTGAACAGAATTCAGTAAAACTATTTCATTTAATGGTTTTGAAAAACATTTTACATCGTTCACTTTAATCATTTATCAGATAACCTTATCATTTTCTTTTGAAAGTTTTGAGAAAAGAATTTTTAATCCTATTTTAAAAGTTTTAAACAAAGAAATTTAAATTTTGTCAGGTTTAATTACAAAAATTTATTCCTTCAATTAACATAGAATTTGTTATTGAAGACTTTTAATATTTTTTGAGGACACAATTTTTGTAATCCAGAAAAATTTGTTGAAAAGTTAACAATCACAGATTTATTAGGTCAGATAAATATAGAAATAAGTAAGCAATTGAAATTAATTTATTGAAATCATTTTTACAACTTTCCTTATTCTTTTAACAAAACTTTCAATTCTAAGCTATTAGCATTAATATTACATTAGCATTAATGTGCTATGACTGAATTTGATGATTAAAATAAAGTATAAAAAAGTTTATCATAAAGTCATTATTGCATGACTATATGAATACGTCTTCAACAATGATTCATTTTCTTGATATTTTATTGCTTACATTAAATTGATATTAAATTTACGTCAAAATATTCAACTACACTTAATTTATATGAAATATACGTTAAATTTTGAAATTTTACAAAGACGTAAAGTTTGCATCTTAATTCTTAACAAAATTTCTAAAACAGTTTGAAGCTCTAACAAAAGTTTATTTTGATATTATTTATACGATTTTGATTTTATACTGCTAATCTTAAAACTAATTAAATTTTCTAATCATCACAAAAGATATTAATAGGACTATTGCAAAAGAAAAATTTTTTTTTATTTAAACATTTTTAGAAACTAATTTTTAAAAGTTTAAATAAAATTGCAATTAATTCTGCAAAAGCATTTTAGTTTATGGCTTGAAATTTTTTTCATTCTCATTCCATTTAAATAATTCGCCTATTTTCATCAAAAATTTTCAGTAATTAATTGTTTTAAAGATAACATAATAATATTATCTTAATTACAAACCACAAAGAGAAAAAATCGTTCTAATAATTTATGAAAAATAAAAAATTAAAAAGTGACAATGTTGAAAAAGCATTTAATTACAATAATTTGTAAATATTTTTATAATTAATTTCAATTGCTAAAAAAAAAAAAATCCATTCAAATTTAGTTTTCCATTTGTAAATATAAACGCTCAACACTTTGTGTATTATTTCAATTTCATCTTTTTCACTTCCAGTTCATCCTCCTTGCGTTTTGTTTTTTCAACCAATCAATTCACATTTATCGATTGCGAGGACATACAATGCGGTGAAACACAACAACCAAAGGTAGTGACAACAACGCCAACCAGCAACAACTACGCAACACCACGGGCGCTTACGCCATTTTATCCAATGATTGTGATAATTATTAGTCACAGCCTTATCATCGCCGTTATCATCATCGTCATCATTATCATCATCGTTGTAATTAATCGTCAGTTATTCTCATTTGAATTTGCATTAGCATCAACAGTTATTAGCAACTGAGACAAATTATTATTTTCGAATTTTATCTACTAATTTTTACTTTATTTCAGTAAGAAAGATTGCGTGTTGATTAATTGTGACAGAGATAATAATACTGATGGTAATAATGATGATGATAAGATTAGTAATAATGCTGATGATGATAATAATAACAATGGTAATGACATGATGGCATGATGATAATAATGGCAGTAATAATAATGACGATAGTGATATGATAGTGTTGATGACGATAACAATAATAACAATATTGGTAATGACAATGATGACAATAACGAAGATGATAATGATGACAGTATTATGATGTAAGAGTGATGATAATATTAATGAAAAAATGATGATAATGCTGATGATTAATGATAATAATGTTGATAATGATGGTAATGATGTGATATCATGTTCACAATGATGACTAGTGATATGATAATGATAGTAACGATAATGGTAATAAAAATAATGAGAATGGTGATGATAGTGATTATGATAATAATGATGATGATAATAATAATGATTATGATGTTGGTGACAGAGAGAAAAAGTTTTATTTCCCGCATATAATCTCAAAAATTATCCACCATTGACAGCAAAACATTACAATTGATAAACGGACATCGTCAAATTTTATTTGTTTATCTTAACCAAAAGCGCTTTTCTTTCTTTTTAGTTTAGTCATACACTCTTTCCATTCTTTTTTAAAAAAAAAATCGATCGGTTTTTTGTTACAGCAATAATATATATAATTTGAAATCGAAATTTCAAACTAAAAATTTCATTTATTTTAAAAATTTTATAATTATACGTTTTATTTTCTTTCTTTTTATTTTTGAAAATAATCTTTTATTATTTGTAATATTTTTTTATGAGATAAAACAATGAACTAACAATTGACTCTTTTATTTATATATTTGCTACCTTAAATGAGATAATATTTATTTATTAAATAAGCAACAAATCGATGATAATAATAGCTTATGAAAATTTAATTATTTTTTATTTTTTCCTTTCTTTAAAAAAAAATAACACTATATTATCTCAATGTGTTTGTCAATAAAAGATCGTAATGACTCATCATTTACATCATAAATTGATGACTAAGCAAAATTTGAACTATGTTTAAATAATTTAAACTTTAATTATATTTCAGTTTTATCTTACCTTACTGTTACCAAAAAATTCCAAGCAAACAACAATGCCACTTAAACCGCAACTTTTCACTACTATTCTCAACGAAGTTACAAAAGTAAACTTTACACAATTTTTTTTTCCCTTATTTCATCTTCTAAAAATTTTGATGAATATTGAAGATATCTTTCTTTAAATTAACATTTAAATATTTTCAATATACAAATTATATTTTAATAACAATGATTTTTTTTTCTTCTGGTTAAAACGAATAGTATGTTCGAATTAGTACTAATTTAATGATAGCATAATAACACTAATGAATTATCCAATTGATAAAAATGGATATTTAACAATGTTTTGATAACAATTATTATTCTAAAATTACGGTTTGTTTTTGCTGATTTATTAGAAAATATTTTGTTAGTTTGTTTTTTTATGAAATATTTTACCAAAATGAAAAATCAAATAATTCCGACTAATTTATGAGGAAATATTCATTGTTTACTGACTAATTAATATATTCGAATCATATATCTTGATCATAACTTATTGCTAATTTCATAGAAAAATTATCAGTGATTAATTGATATTAATTTAAACCTCTTAGATAAACAAAAATAAAACCGCAATTTATTTACTTTATTAAAGAAAAATGTTGAGAGAGCTTTATTTATGGGTTATTTCATATAAAAAGAAAACTTTCTAGAAATTATACAATATTGTGCTTTAATGTTTTGATGAACTGTTCGTTTTTTCGAGTAATTAACAGTTAAAAGTTTATGAATTTACGATTCGATGTATCTTTCTTCTACCTCATTCGTCATTACTGCTTTTAATAAAATAGTAATTTAATTATAAATATGATATTTTGAAAAATCAAATATATTAAATATTTCGTCCTTTAAATCCTATAAAAAAAAAAAAACTGCCCGATTCTTTTTCTTTCTTTTTGAAATTATTATTCAGGGTTTACAAAATATGCAACAAGATGATAATAGGAGTAGCAGCAATAAACAACAACAACAACCAGGTATTTTTTTTTTTTTTTTTTCTGAACAATCATTTTGACTTAGTAACAAAATGATAGGTTTTGAATCAATCATAAGTAGGAAATCGTAGATTTTTGCAAATATTCGACTACAAAATGAATACTTAAGAATTAAGTAATGAATAATTGAATAAAGTAATGTTTAGATAAACATTTTCTGAAGTAAGTTATGCTTTTTTTTCCTAAGTTTTCATTTTAAATGATTTAATTATGTAAGTATATTTTGGAATATTGCATTCAGTATAGTTAAATTTTGCCACATATCAACTAATATATATGTAATTAATTAATTTATTTATTTAATTAAATAATTTATTTGTTTGTTTTTTATGCATTTGTTTATTTAATTTTTAGGACACTGTTTTCAACTTTATTAAATTTAAATGGAGCTTTTGTCCCCGATTCTGTTACTAAATAATATTTTAAATTAAATATATATATTTGTGTTAGTTGATATGTTGCTAAATTTTTTCGTTACTTAAATAGTTTGTTTGTCTTTTCTTTTTTTTTTTCTCTCTCTCTCTCTCTATTTCATTATAATATTACACAATGTTTGGAAATATAGCTAATGTCGAGCTTATCTAAAAGTCATATTTACCTTTTTTTGTCTTCTCATCCATTAGCTTTCTTTCGTATTTATTTTCATTTATTTATTTATTTTTTTTTTTCATATGACACTGTTTATTTCATTTAATGCTAAATTCGAATTAAAAATTTTTGTTGATTAAGAAAACCTTATAATTCTTTGATTTGTACCATACAGAGAGATTCATGAAGTAATCGTTTATAATAATTACTAGCAGGTACAAATGAATTTCCAGGTAGTGGTCATTTTGGTCAACCAAATAATTATCCAGCCCAATCAGGTAGCTATCCAGGTCAGCAAGGAGGTTATTCAGACCAACAAGGAGGTTATTCCGGTCAACAAGGAGGTTATCCCGGCCAACAACGAGGTTATCCAGGTCAGCAGGGAGGTTATCCCGGTCAACAAGGAGGATATCCCGGCCAACAAGGAGCTTATCCAGGTCAGCAGGGAGGTTATCCCGGCCAACAAGGAGGATATCCCGGCCAACAAGGAGGATATCCCGGTCAACAAGGAGCTTATCCAGGTCAGCAGGGAGGTTATCCCGGTCAACAAGGAGGATATCCCGGCCAACAAGGAGCTTATCCAGGTCAGCAGGGAGGTTATCCCGGCCAACAAGGAGGATATCCCGGTCAACAAGGAGGTTATCCAGGTCAGCACGGAGGTTATCCCGCCCAACAAAGTGGTTATCCCGGCCAGCAAGGAGGTTATCCAGGTCAACAAGGTTACCCGGGACAACCTGCTTACCCATTGGCACCTAGTGACTATCCATATCAAGGTTCTGGACCAGGTCACATAAGCAATACTTATGGACCAATAATTGGTGCAGGTAAGCTTTCCTTAGGATTTTATTTAACGATGTTTACATAGTCTTATGATAGTTTCCCAAATAAGATACAATAGAGGTGAAACAAAGGTACAATACAGTGGTATATGTTTACTCTTTTCAGTAAACATACTCTTTCTGAGTAAACTTATACCACTTTCTACTTTATTTACTTTAGTTTCATACAGTTAACATTTAACTTCATGATTTATCACCTATCACATAGAAAACAGAATGAATAAAACTTTAATTTTTGGATATTATTTTAATCTGTTTATTTTTTCAATATTTAAAATAGGAATTATTAAAATTGAAAATTTCTTACATGAGAATTTTTTTTTTTTTTTTGCTTCTTATTTGTTATCTAAAAATTAAGCAAAATTATTATTATTTAATGATTTTCATTTCATATGCAAATTTACAGTTAAAATTTTTAAATTGATTTTAATGCTTCTACTTGCAATTTCTAAATGAAATTTCAATGTCGATAAAATTTAGAATATTATTTAAATTTATCAAATTCAACTGAATTATTTCAGATAAAACTATGATAAGAAATGTTAGCTTTTATTGTCTTTTGCCATTTGTTTACATTTTTAGCTATTTAGTCATCTCATTCGCTTATCTTTAAAATAGGACATTTAAATATTTGCAATTAGTTATAACAAAATGATTACATTAGATAGAATATATTAAATGTTAATAATTTTGATAGTAATTAATAAAATATAAATTACATTCAGAAATAAATCTGATTATTAATTTATAATTTATTATTTTTGTTATTATTCAATTAATTATTAATGCAAATAACTATTTGATCAATTTTTTCTTTCTTTTTCCTTCCCTTTTTCCTCTTTTTTGTTTCTACTATTCTACTTTTTTGACTTATTTGTTTAAAAAATGGATTTACTTATTTAAAATTTTATATTAAAAATTTTTATTCAATATTTTTAATTTAAATTTTACATTTTTGCTTTGTTTACATCATTAAATATTGCTATTCATTTTCTCTGCTTTTCTTCTTTACATTCTTGTTAATCATACATCACCTCACACTCAATTTTTTTCAATTTTTAAGGGCCTAATTAAATTCTCTCGCATCCTTCCATTTCATCAATTCGTTTTTCTCACATTCATTTTTCGATTTTTATTTTTCAGTTTTATGTATTATTCTCATCTTTTCGTACTTTCTCAGTTTGTCATATTTTACTTTACTTTTTCCCATTCTTTTTTATTTTACAAGGAAAATGTTGTAAACAATAATAAAATTAGAATATTTTATTAGTGAAAGCAAAATTTGAATACTTATAAATGAAAGAAATATTCTTGATTATCTATTAATTTTAATTTGATTAAATACAAAAATTTAATTATCAAAATTTTTGATAAATAACCTATTTCATCTTTACTAATTACAATTTAATTATAATAGTTAATGCATCAAATATATATATATATGTTCATTACAAAACACTCATACATTCTATGTCATTGACCTTGGAAAATTGAACTTTCAATTAACTCCAATGACCTTTTAAATATTTACATGTGTGACATCAAAGTCTGGTTAACTAGCACAAACATTTTTCTTCATAATTTTTGTTTACCATAATAATTTTATAATATCATTTACCGAAACATTTAGATTGATTTATTTAAGTTTTATCATTATTATTATTATTATTATTATTATTATTATTATTATTATTATTATTATTAATATTATTATTGTTATTGTTACTGTTATTATTATTATTATTATTTGTCATTATTATTTATTGCTATTAATTAATTTGTTATTATTATTACTGTTATTTTGTAACCACTTTTATTATTTTTTTTTTTGCTTCGCCACATAATTATTCAACCACAATACATTAATAAATAAACAATATTTATCATCCAAAATGAATCATGTTTTAAAATCGATGGTATTGTAATGCAATAGTAGTAGTGCCTTTAGTCATCATCAATAAAACTTGTTTGTCACCTTGTCCTCTCCTCTTTTTTTCCTTTTTCATGTCCCATTCTTTTCAAATTTTTTCATTAGTCAGAAATTGTCACAAGTGAATTTATCAAATAACAATTTAATTACATTCTGTAATACTTTTAGCTTAATTTTTTTTCCACTTTTTTTTTTTTGTTATCTTTTCAATTTTTTGATTAAATAGTTTATTCTTTTCAAAATATTCATCCTTTTCTATACACAATGTAATTTTTAATTATTTTCATTAACGATGACAAATTTGTTGATGTAATTAATTAATTTTTTTGTGCACTTAATTACTATATTTAATATGTTTGTTTTAATTTTAATTGTCTCGTTCCTTTTTTATCAACATTTAATAACTGAAATTAAAGAAAGGAAAAATTACTGTTATTATTAAATTATATTATCAATCTATCAATAAAGCATTAATAATTAAATTATACGCATTTTTAGTTAATATTTTGAAGTCTTCTTCCATTTTAAGTTGTTTCTGTTTTTATTCTATAATAATTTTAATTTGAAGTTGATAGTGAAAAGTTAATGGTAATAAATTAGTTATTAAAATTGAAATATATATATATATATATATATATATATATATTTGAAATGATTAATTGAATAACTTAATGTTGAAAAAAATTTTTTCTTAGTTATTTTATTTAGATCGAATTAAACTTTTTTAATTTATAACTGAAACTAATTTATAAGATTTTGCAAACTTTTTACATTTGAATTTTGCTTTCCTCTTTACCATTCTGTCTACTTTTTTTTTTAAAAAAAAAAAAAAAAAAAAAGGAGATAGTAATTAAAATTACAAATTTTTAAGTTTAAAATTAAAAAAAAAAAAGAAATAAACAGCGCTAAAATTATTAATTATTTTCCATTAATAATTGTTATCTCTAAAACATTATTTGTAAACAAAAAAGAAAAAATAAATAAATATTAGTATGTTCGCGTTATTATCTTAACCTTTAACCTTTAAATCATTTTTTTTTTAAAAAAAAAAATAATTTTCAGATATGCAAGGAAGAGCATCGTTACATCCATATCAAGCATTTAATGCAAATGCTGATGCTGAAACATTACGTAAAGCAATGAGAGGTTTAGGTTGTGACAAAAATAAAGTTATTATTGTACTTTGTGGCAGAGTTAATTTTCAGGTTCCTTTCTTTTTTTTTTTTTTTTGACATTAATTGAGAAATGAAAATTTTTATTTAAAAGTTCAAAAATTAGTTTAATTTTTAAAATTGTTTCGTTTATAAATAAATAAAATTTTGAAATTTATTTTTTAAAAATTATATATTAAAAATTATTATTAAAAATTATTTTTTTTTTCTCTTTCGAAAATTTTTAGCGTCAACAAATTGCGGCAGCTTATAAAACAATGTATGGTAAAGATCTTATAAATGATTTGAAAAGTGAGCTATCAGGTGATTTTGAAGATTTAATATTGGCGCTAATGGAACCACCAGCACGATATGATGCGCAACAACTTCACAAAGCTATGCAAGTAATGATTTGATAATTTTAATTTTTTTTTTTTCTCAAATTTATCATTTCATATCATTTTCATATTATTAGTTTAATCATGCAATTTATGTTAATTAAAAAATTTAAATAAACAATTTTTTAAATGAATTTTAAAGTCGAAAAAAGCATTACGAGAAGCTCATCTATTAAATTATTTATGCAAACATTTTCCAAATATGATTTATTGGCTAATTGAAATGCATGATTTCCTCACGTACATGGAATTGTGAGAGAACTAATTATCAAAGATATATCTAGTAATTAGTATTTAAGTATTTTGAAACTTAATTACTTACTAAAATTTGTATGCTTTATTTTGATCCAAACATATTCCAATATATTTCATACATTTAATACATAACGAATTTTTAAATTTATTAATTTGCTCATTAAAAACAGCTTTATTATTTTATGATATTATTAATTCTTTTCTATTTTTTTTTTTACTATTAAAATTTAACAAATAATTATAGGGTTTGGGTACAAAAGAATCAGTACTAATTGAAATTATGTGTTCACGGACGAATGCACAAATTATTGAATTACGTAACATTTATCAGCAAATGTATCATTCAACGTTAGAGAATGATTTAATTGGTGAAACAAGCGGACATTTTAAGCGTTTGCTCGTATCACTATGTAATGGCGGACGTGATGAAAGTATGCAAACTGATACGTTACGTGCTAATCAGGTTAAATATTCTTCAGTATTACTTAATTAACATTAAAATAATTTGTAAGTATATTATTTTATTTAATATTTAAGCATTTCAAATTTTTACTCAAACCATTATATATTAATAAACAGTAATGAAAATATGTAAATTGTTGCATAACAAATTAATTTGATTTAAAAAAAGAAAAAAATATTACATAAGTATTCATTAAGCATATCTTATATGATTATTATAAATTAATTTGAAAATTACTTTATTTGTACATTAATTCTGTTGTGTACATTTTTTTTTTTTTGAATTGTAAACTTTTCAAATCCTTAAAAATTTCACAAATATTTTAATTTTGATTTTTTTTTTTTTTTTTTTTTTGGAGTAATTAAGAAAGAATAAAATAGATATATCATCAATAATTTTTATTATTTTGTTTAAACGATTTAATTAATTTGAATCTTTATTCTTTTTAATTACACTGATTCCTTAATTGTATTCGTTTTAATTCCTTTAATATTCAATTCTTTCTTATATCATTTTTAAAATTAAAGAAATCATCGGAATAGTGATATATTATCATTTTTAGGATGCTAAAAAATTATACAAAGCTGGCGAACAACGCCTTGGTACCGATGAATCATGCTTTAATGCTATTTTAGCTTCACAAAATTACGCACAACTAAGACTTATCTTTCTAGAATATCAAAAGGTTTAATTAATTAAAAGTTAAATGGAAAAATATGATTTAAAAAGTTTTTTTTTTGATTTGAAATTATAGAAATTATTCATTTTCTTTCATTTTTACAATTTATCAAAAAGTTTGATTAATTAGAAGTTAAATTATATGCATAAATTTGTAATGGATAGAATTACAGTTAAATTTTAATTAACAATAATTCAAAATTGAAATTTACACAAAATTTCCACATTTTATGAGCACCTTTTTTTTTTATTTTTTAATTTCTACTTTTTTTTTTTTGAGATAACAAATCATACAATTGAGAAAGCAATTGAAGCGGAATTTAGCGGTGATGTAAAGGATGGCTTATTAGCTGTTGTAGCATGTGCGCAAAATAAACCAGCTTATTTTGCTACATTACTCTACAATAGTATGGTGGTATGCTAATTATTATTTTATTAAATTCTTTTTTTTTTTTCTAAATTATTATTTGTTGGAAGAAAATAAGTTGAAATTAATAATAGCAATGAATAAATTAATCATATTAAAATATAATTTTTATAGCAATTGATTGATTCACAAATTAATTTGATTGATTGATTGATTTGATTTGCTTTCCTGATCACATACAAATGACAACTCATAAATAACAAAGAAAAAACGAAATTTTTATTTTATTTAAAAAAAAAAAATTTTTTTTCATAATATAATGGAAATTTTTAGGGATTTGGTACACGTGATAATGATTTAATCCGTATTATTGTTACACGTTCCGAAATTGATTTAGCTGATATACGACACGAATTTGAGCAAAAATATAACAAAAGTTTAGAATCATTCATTAAGGGTGATTGTTCAGGAGCATATAAAGATGGTTTAATTGCACTTGTTCGTGGCAATTAATTCAATTTAAATTTCAGTTTTCTCTTTTCTGTTTTTCAATAAAAAAAAAAAAAAAAATATTGGCGAATTTTACAACATTATGATAATAAAAAATTCTCATTCTTATAAATTGTAATTTGAATTCTTTGTGATGCTTGATGCTTTTTTCTTCCTCTCTCTATTTTAATAAAATTAAATTTGCATTTGCACACTTTTTTTTTTTTCAGAATAAAAATGAAGCAAATATGTGAAAATTACAAATCTTATTATCAGAAATAAAAATTCCTTCCAGCTTCTGTAGCATATGATAATAAGGATTTTTTATTTATTCAAAATTAGTTTTCTACTTGTAACAGATACTTCTCATTTAATGACTTATTTATAGATGTGATAAACTTTAAGCACTAAGCTTATATCATACAACTATCAATATCATATCGATCAAGAAATAAACGTTATATTATTATTCTATAGCATATGAAACTGGCAATTACCTATTTGAAACTATTGCATTTTATTTTCATGAAAAATGTTTTATTTCAAAAGAACATCAACTGAACAATGAATAATTCAAAATTGTGAAAAAAGAAAAAAAAAATCTTTTTTTTTTCCTCTTTCATATATGATAAAAAGAAATAAAAGAAAAATATGTTCAGAATATGATCTTTTATTAAATGTCAAAATTCGCATGAATTTTTTTTTTTTTTTTTTTTTTTTTTTGTTTTTTGAGAGAAAAAGAAATTCTTAAATTGTAAAGTAAAAATGAACGATTTGTATAGTGAATAAGAAGATGTAGAAATGTAGAAAACTATTCGTTAGATCATTTAAATTTGGTCTTAATTAATCATAAATAATAGCCTGTAAAATATTTCACCATATTTCTGAACATAGAACAAATAATCATATACAGTAGAATATTAAGGATAATAAAGCCTGCCTAATGCAATAACCTGTATGCTGAAATATTGGGTAGTTAAAGTAAATTAATTACATGAATTAACTGAGAATAACATATGGAAATGCAACAAAACTGTTTAAAACTTCGATTAAAAAACAAAAAACAAAAAAACAGAAGAAGAAATTAAATGAGACATAACTGTTTTGGAAATGCATTCATCTTTTGGAGTAATTTACACATTTTAATCAATTGATGAAATAACAATTTAGTAATCATTTATAAAATAAAAACATCAAAAGCATATATTAAACTCATATTGTAATGTGAAAAATTAAGGCAGAAAAAAAAATTTGTCAACCAAAAAATGCTATTATGAAAAAATTATCAAACATTTAATCATCAGTTCTTCATTTGTGTTAACACAACTTGTTGCTTATTTTCTGCAATTAATTATATTTACTATGAAACGAAAAAAATTCAAATATGATTTATAACTGAAAAATAAATGGAAATAAAATAGAAAATTGTAGGATAGATAGTAATGAATAATTAAGGAAAAATTACACAATATGTATATTGAATCTTGTATATTATTTCTAAAACTAAAAATTATTTTTTTTTTTTAGCTAGTTTCACAATCTTAATTTACTAAAAATGAACTTAAGAATTTTTCATATAAAATGTATATATTAATTTTAAGCAAGAAAATTACTAAAATTTTATTGCTCTTACGCAGAAACTTATTATATGTGGTTATACTTAAATGTAAATGGCATCCACTTAAGGTTAGAATTGCAACTAATATCTTCCAATGTCACCTCCACCAAAACTTCTCTCTGTGCGATTGCAACTATTACTTAGCATCTGTTTACCGTACAATATAATAAACAAAACTGGAAAATAGAATGAAAAGATTCAAGGAGATATTATCCATCACCAAAAAATGTATTCTTAACCCAAATGAAATTAGATTTGAAAAAAAATCAAAAAAAGAAAGAACGAGAAATAATCCTGGGAACACATATACCCCACAGCTTCGCAAAATGTCCATCAAAGTCCACTATTTCATCTCAAAAAAGATATCCTTTTTAGTCATGATATCTGTTAATTTATTTCTTGAAAATGTTGTTTTCAAAGTTGTAAATAGATAAGTTGAGATTGTTAGAAAAACCTATGAAATGAAAAAAGATGTTATTTCATTTTTAACTGAATAACGGTTCAGTTAATTTCAAATGCAGGAAGATACAGAATTTTGAATAAATTTAATTAGAATAAAAATGAAAATCCATACATTCAATTTTTTAAAATTCCTTTTTAAATTCGCGATCAAAATTACTGCTATCAGATCCTGAAATACCATTTATTCGCTGAAGATCTTAATCTTATGTTTGTCAAAAAACTTTTTCATGCAGAAATAAAATGATTATGAAATCAGCTAATTTTAAAATCGCTTGAAAGTATTCGAATAACCTTCGATATTCTGATTAACATAATTTCCTTAATGATATCTTTTGTTGAAAAAAAAAAAAAAAAAAAAAAACTTCAAAGCATACGTTGACTCTTCACGTAACCATCAGCTCGTTCGCAACGACTGTTAGCGATATCAAGAAGAAAGTCCGGTGGTATCTGCTGTACTTCTTGAACTACCTACAGTAACATATATTCCTATTTTTAATAAGAATAATTTTTTTTTTTTTTTCAATGATCAATTACCATTGTTACAATTAGCAAATGTATAAAAACAGATAGTTCAATTATGTATGTCTATACATAATTTGAAGATTATACTAATCTTCAATTAAAGTTTATGCCATAAAAATGATTATACCTGAACAATACTAGCAATCAAAGCTGGATCATCATCAGCAAGATTAATAAATGATGTCGCTTTACCACGATGAAGACGACCGGTACGTCCAATACGATGTACATAAGTCACACGATCACTTGGCATGTCATAATTAATTACCTTAAAAAATTAATCCCTTCACAAGTACATATTTATATAAATCAAAGTAAAATGAATTAATCTATGTAACAAATTAAAACAACGTATAGTATTAAAGTCAGAAGATAGTTAGCAAAAGAAGTAATATTAAAAAATATATATAAACTGACATGTTGGAGATCTTTGACGTCAATACCACGTGCGCAAACATCAGTAGCAACCAGGACTTTAATATTACCTTTTCGAAAATCTGATAATGCTTCTTCTCGTTGTTTTTGCATACGATCTCTGTAATGCAGGCTTTTCTTCTTACACATAGCACTTAATATATCTGTATAAAATATTTAACATAAAAAAAAAAAACACCAGCTAATCACTACGCATCTTATAGACAAGATAAAGAAAACTTTTTTTGTACAAAAAATTTATTGCAAGTGAATTATTTTATAAAAACAAGTTAATGAACAGAACTAAAGATATATCTCTTGAACGATCTAAATCTAAATTTCCATGTAAAAATAAATTTTAATGACTGATCTAGAACATTACCCGCTGATGCTGCTCGATTGTATATTTTTTTGAATCAGATTTAAAGCTATGACATCGGCCATCTGTTTCCGCTGAACAAAAACCAGAGTACGTGCTACATCACCGTTATGCTCTCTATCCTCTTCTAATAATTGTATCAATTTGTCAAACTTATTTTCAGACGTAACCTGTAAGAGTAAAACTTCACGTTTTCTGTCAGACAAAAAGGTGAAGTTCAGAAAGAGAGCAAAATGATCCTAACAAGCTCTACTTTTGAACGACAATATATCAGTATATATAACAAAACTTCTCTTTTCAAATTTTTAACTTTTATCAAACTGACCATACCTAAGTGATACCATTATGAACAACTAAATGGCCATGCAGAAGATTTGAAATAAATACCACTTAACTAACCTCAATAAAATTCTGCTCAACGAGTGGATTAGCCGAAATAGTTTTACCGTTTGATACAAATGCATGATTTTCTTTCAAAACTTTTGCTGCCAACTCTTTTACTTCGCTTGTAATCGTTGCGCTGAATAGCAACGTTTGTCGATCCTTCACCTATAATTTTTTTTTTTCCTTCAAATTAGGAATAAGATTTATCCTAATACCTCTTCTGTTCAGGAAACTAAGTGACCGAGAAGATATACTCGAATAAGTCAAACAATTTATTCCCAAATAGCATATTTACGAATTTATAGTATCATTCTTACGTTTTTTATCAATATTTCGTAATATTTTGGAAAACTTCACAAAAATAAATGCTCTACCGATGGAAAATCAGGCCTGTGAACGAGATTGATAATATCTGTTTGAAAGGAATCTTGACTAAGCATACGATCGGCTTCATCCAGCACAAAAAAACTGATATTGTGCAACTTCACCTAAATAACTATCGAATATTTCCTTTAAGTAATAGCATTAGTACGGATTGAAACTCTTCTTCTCTACAAATAAACCTATTCTTTTCAAACAAGTGATAAATTATTCTCATATCGATTAACAAAATTTTGTCTGAAATTTGAATTTGAATTGAAATGATCGAAATAGAACAGTACTATGACCAACTATTATGGAAATATTATGACTGACTGTTATGGAAACTCAATCGTGTTGAAATATTATCACTTCACAAAACCTTGTCAGTTTACTATCGTTATGCTATGTGCTTTTTTTTATTACATATAAAATTTAATTTTTTTACACTTTAATAAAATTTTGAAATTTTTTTTAACGGAAAAAATATTAATGCATCGAAAGCAAAATTTCAAATTCTAATATTAATTCTAAAAATATCATTTAGTTTAAAGCAGTACCTTCCTATTAATCACAAAATCTTTTAATCTTCCCATCGTAGCAAACAGTATATTACAACCTCTTTCTAGCTCCATTATATTTTCAAATAATTTGTACTGTCCATATGCTTTTGCCACTGTTACACCAGTTCCTAAAAGTTACATTGGAGAAGTACGGGAATTTTTCTCATATTCTGATTTACATAAACAGGGTTGATCATAATAAGCATATGAAACTATAAATATAAGTGAACGAAGGCTAGATTATGAAAGCAGTTTAATTTGAGTCAGTCAATGTCAAAATAACTATGTCATTACAATTAAAAATGATGTTAAAACGAAGTTTGACAAAACAAAAGATTTAACAATTCCGAAAACAAATACCGTTATGCATTCTAGCTTAATCGGAAATTGTTTGATAACTTCTGAGGATACCTCTATAGAAGTAATATAACTTATATGAAATTTAGAATTACTTCAAATCAAAACTGTACTAGAACTACTTGTCACATTTGATCCTCTATAAATCAAAAATATAAATTATGTCAAGAACTATACCATTAGCGAATTTCCTAGCTTGATTGTATAGCTGTCCGACTAATTCACGTGTAGGTGCTAGTATTAAAGCAATTGGTGCACATCTCGAGTCATTTTTTTCACCATCATTCATGATGTAATTGATAATTGGTAAAATGAATGCGGCTGTTTTGCCACTACCTGTTTCGGCATGTCCAACTATATCCCAGCCTTAATAAAAAATATACTAAGCATAATCGAAATATCAAATTTGCTGGTAGTTGGGACAGATATATAAATGAAATGATTTGGCTATTCAATTCAAGTTAATTAAAAGTTAGGTATTTATTTCAAATTTAATGCACCATTTTGTATAAGTGGAATGACAGCAGCCTGTATACGTCGCGGGGCTGAGTAGAATGATTTTTCGACGACATTACGTAATAACAAATCTCCAAATCCTGCGTTCCTCCAATCACTAAAATTGAAAGAAAACAACAGTCGCTCCAATGCACTAGTAATCACTTAACATAACTTTAACATAGCATCAAACCACGAATTTTATGTTTCAAATTAAATTCTTGTACCTCACAGATATTCTAAAATATATGAATCTTATGATGAAATCTGTAGAAACTCACTCTAATCTCAGCATTTTCTGCAACTGTGGAATTCCTGTTATCGTGACTTCTTGATCCAAATCACTTATCTGTAATGAAGATTCTAAAATCTAAGAGCATCACAAAGCATTCCTTCTATTCTTCCCTTTTCTACATACGCCCTTTCACTTGCTCAAGAATCGGGAATGTGAAATCGTGCTCTATTTGAAAAGATAAAATACAACCTCATATTTCGCATTAGCTTCATCCTCTTTATACATTTCTTCCACAGATCGATCTTCTGGAACATGAGACGAAAAACGAGAAGCTCTAACTGAAACAAAATTTGTAGAGCATTAAGAACTTCTGAGTACCAAACACTTCAAAGTATCCAATTTTATTTGATTAATTAAAAATTTTTTTATATTCAATAACGTACCTCCATTTTCGGATAAGCGGTCACCACAGCCAGCTCCTACATCTCTCTAAAAATAATTGTTGGTTGGAATAAAAGAATAAATCATAGAAAAGGATTGAAAAGCAGTGTTAATCTAAAGACTTCTTTCTCTTTTTCTTTTTTTTTCCTTTTTTTTCCTTTTTTTTTTTTTTTTTATCAATAACATGGAAAGAAAAAACGATCTCCCGCATTCCTATTTCCCTCTTCTTTCATCTTCTCTTGAAGTATATTTTTACACTGTCTACTGCAAGCTTTCTGTTAGATACTAACTATTTGTGCAAGTTAGTTAATTATTTCAACAAAAATATTAATGTTAAAATTATTACATCAACACAAAATAAAATCCGAAATAACCTACTTTCAAATCCGATAAATGCCAGTTTCCTATAAAATGTGAAAATATATGCAAATTCATATAGAAATAATATAAAAATGATTTGTGAACAGATTGTCAAAATAACAAGGAAAAATACTGAGTGACTAAAGATTTTAGCTAAAATTTAGAAAAATCTCAAGTCAAAAAGAAAATCACAAAAATTATTCCACGATAACTTAAAATTACAGTATGGGCTTCCAATTGAAGAATTATATGGATCTTTTTGTAGATTTCATAAATGTTCTCGAACTCAATATTCAAGACAGGTAAAAGATGATGATTCACATTACACAGTCTCACCTCGATCATTCCTTCGCCTATTACCCCAATCACTGCTGAAGTTAGAACGACCAAATCCTGTTTTTCCTGAAAATGTTCTCAATCATGAAGGACTTTGTTAAATGATATTAAAACTCTGAAAAATAAGCTATCAAAATCATTTTGAGGTATGTTTAAAACATCGAAAAGTCCGATTATTCAGGTCTTATTTTTTTTTATTTTATTTTTGTTATTTTGCTATTTTGGACAACCTAGATTTTGCACGTTGATATATTAGAATACAGAAACAATTTGTGAATGGATGGATGAAAAAATTTAAGACGTTGAATGAGTGAAGTTTTGTTAAAATTTAAAAAATCCTTAGTCAACAAGAAACATAAAAATTAACTTAAAATTACAATATGAGTGGTAAGGTCAGAACATATAATTCTGGCTAAACAAAAATTTAATTTCTATCTTGGAAACTTCAAAACAAGCATCACCTTCACTATTGAAGCCACTATTAAAACTCCGAGTATCGGAAAAAGTTTCTTCATTATTTGCTTTGCTACCAAAATCTCCAAAACTATCATTATTTCGGCTGTTATTAAAGCTGTGACCACCGCAGCCCCTCCGTCCACTTGAAAACTTGTTGTACTTGTTGTTACCGAAAGCAAAGCTTTCATCTCTGTCATTGTCAAAATCACTTCTGATAGGATGGAAACCACCACCTCGATCACTGGAAAAAGCGTGGCCTCCTCTAGATCCACGCTTGTGAATTGCAAAATCTCCAGAATTATTATAATCGAAACCACCAAAGTTACTATTATGACCATCAGAAAAATCACTAGTGTGACGATCGGAGCCGAAATTAGAACTACCGTTCGATTTACCACCAGCATAAAAACCACTACCACGACCGCCACTGTTTGAAGATCTTCTATTCATATTATTTTCGGCTAAGAAACCACTACCCCTACCACCATATCCCGATGAGAATCCACCACGACGTTCAGCTGAGAATCCAGAAGAAAAATCGTTTTCGCGATCGAATGAATATCGATCACCGTCCTTGCGATTACTAGAAAAAGTACTTTCACGACCTCCTCTCATAAAAGTGCGAGTGCCGCGGTTGTTACCAACACAACCTCCAGTATCGAACGGACTCGAAAAATCTGAATCTGAAAAAAAGATAAACCTACCCTTTAAACAAACAAAAACATTGAGGTCTCGGAAACTATTGCCATGCCCAAATAATTGAAAAAGATGGAAAGAAAAAATAAATAACGCCTCAAGAGCAATAAATATGCAATTATTAACTAATATTTTGATTATAACCTGTAAAGTGCTCCATCCTATTTTCTCGATTATTACGACTATATTCATCAAAAGTACTTCCGCCTGAAATATCATTATTAGATACATGTTACAATTTTAGTAAATAAAAATTTTGTTTTATATAATTGGTCAGAATAAAATAATATAATGGAATGAGTGTTTAGAAAATCAACACTGAAAGTTTAATAAATATAAACATGTAAATTTATATCATAATTATAAGCAACAAACACTTTTCTACCGTTTCAATTAACATCGTTCGCCAGAACCATGAAATTACAGAGTTATCAAATTAAATCAAAAATTCTAGCATCAAAATTAGTAACTATGCAGCTTTCTAGCTAATCATATAATCTTATATCATAATTATAAGCAACAAACACTTTTCTACCGTTTGCAGCTTTCTAGCTAATCATATAATCTGCCTGCTTGAATCTAGCTAAATACTCTATAGAACTCACTTGAAAAATTATTTCGATGAGAACCACGCATGCTACCATTCTCATTACGATTTCCTCTTGTACCGTTATTAATCTTCAAAAATTCGCAAAAATCATTTAAACTAAAAAATCGTTTAAATTTAAATCTTGTCTAAAATTTCTTATAAAGAAAGTAGATATCATTACATGACATACAACTATAGAATCAATCACGATTAAGTATCCATTATAGCAAGAATTGAAAAATATGCAAACTAGTTGCACAATGACAGATACACTGCGTATCTCCCTAAATGTTTAAATGTTATAAAATTACAGTGACCACCGTCCATTGAATAAATTTTTTGAAAACCAAAACTAAGACGATACCCAATCAAAATGTGATTCTGGAAAATATGAACCATCATCGATGATTTTCCTGAAATTTTTGTGCGATTTGTTAGAAAAATTGATGAGCTTTACTTTCTTGACAAAAAAAAAAATCATATTCAGAAATTAAAATATCATCAATTTAAATCTCACTAATCAGATTTACAATTTAACCAAATTCAAAATCAAAAAAAAGAAAAAAAAAATATACCCTCGTCCGAATCCACCACTCATTTCGAAATATTAGATGTTGCAACAATGAATGATGATCTTTATAATGTTAACTGAAAAAAAGAACCAATAATTGAAAAATGTAAATGTGATCTTAACGTGCAAATAAAACTCATTTTATAACACAAGTATTTTACAAATATTTACATTTTACAAATTTTTTTTTTAAACTCATTTTTAAATTCGTGCATTAAATATGGATCATTGCATTGAGTTAGAAATAAATAAATAAATATATATATATATATATGCGTATAAATTAATCATATTATTATTTATAGTACATAATTTCTCTATAATTTTGCTACTTTCCACTTGATGATATACGCTTCTTTAAAAAAAAAAAATTAAAAAATCTTACTATTTCTTGATATTAGTAATATAACTGATGATGTAAAGAAAAACATTCAAATAATAAAGAAATTGCTGAAAGAGAATTTCTTACACTTACGCTACTTACTATATGATAAAGTGAATCATTTTCGGATGCGATCATTAGCTGAATAGATAGATTCTAATGAATATATATATATATATATAAGTAAAATAAAATGTATTTATCATTTTTTACAATACGTAAACAGCACTTTTTATTTCAATAGAACAAGAAATATTTGCCCTAATAGAAAGAATTAAATAGCTAAATGATCATTTATTTATAGTTAAAAAGTAAAATTAATTAAATCTAAAAAATATTTAATGCAATAAACCAATCAAAATATAAATAAATAGCCTATGTCACACTTATCAACCAGTCACTACCAACCATCATTACTGTACTGTCTTTGTTACCAAAATGAAAACGAGCAAACGAAATGATGCACGTGCGCAAATGCATGAGTGGACGTGCAAGTGAATGATGCAAGTGTGCAGCTGAATGATGCACGTGCGCAAATGCATGAGTGGACGTGCAAGTGAATGATGCAAGTGTGCAGCTGAATGATGCACGTGCGCAAATGCATGAGTGGACGTGCAAGTGAATGATGCAAGTGTGCAGCTGAATGATGCACGTGCGCAAATGCATGAGTGGACGTGCAAGTGAATGATGCAAGTGTGCAGCTGAATGATGCACGTGCGCAAATGCATGAGTGGAAGTGCAAGTGAATGATGCAAGTGTGCAGCTAAATGATGCACGTGCGCAAATGCACTATAGAGAAAATGACAATATTCATATGGAAAAAACAAATGATGTAATGTAAAAGCATTAAAATGTAAAAAACGTTATGGGATATTTGAGGGAGAGAGAGAGAGGGAGAGACGAAGAGAGAGGGGGATGCTATAGACATTTTGTTCAAATTATGTGAATGCATTGCATTACATTCTTATACCCCAATGAATTATAACAAATGAAACTGAACAATTTTTGGAAAACTCTCGGAATACTCGGGAATACTTCCTCTGATAACAAATAGTATGAAATGGATTTTAAAAATGAAAATCAAAAAGACAACATGTGACTGATGTTAGTAATAAGAGAGGGGAAGGAAATAGTATAGAAGTGTAGGAGGAGCAGAATGAAAGAAGTGCAGTGTAGCATGCAACATTCAAGAGTTCTCGGAAGGTTCAAGAGGGTTTACTTTGAGAAAAATTTTAAAAATCAGAGAAAGAGATTTTGTCTTGAAAAAAATGCTGAGAGATCGACTCGAAAAGTTTGCTTTGAAGAATTGAAAGGGTTTTATTTGAGGAAATTTTGAGAGATTTTGGTTCGAGGAATTTACTTTGCTGACCTTTTGGATCACCTTTACTTGAATGGATTTGCTTTTGGGCAATTTTGAGATGCTCAAGAGATTTCCGGGCAGTTTTCTTTTTCTCTTTTTATTCGAAATTTTCTGACAAAATGAAAATAATCAATTTCACATTAAAATATTATAACTCTAATATTATATTGTAAATTTGTAAATTTTATATATATATATATATATATATATATATATATATATATATATTTGCCAACGTTTAACTTATCTATGACATATGTAAGCATAGGCATATCAAATGACGGATGTCATTTTCACGTACATTTATGTAAATTCATTCTTTTTTTCAGATATTAATAATATAAAGTGAAATTATGATGTAAAATGCATAGACATTTTTTTTTCCTTCCAAATGATTTTTTTTTTTCTTTTTTCAAACTATTTTATTCGAAGAAAAAAAGAAAAAAAATTAAAATCAATAAGTTGAATCTTTTATTTATTACTACAAAAAGAATAACGTTTTTCATGTGTAGTATCATATTCGTTTTAGATTCACATTTCTTTTTCTTTTTTGTTTTTCACAGTTCACTGTGATCTTCAATTTGAGGTTATAATTTTCTGAAAATTATTTTTTTCTTTTTTTGCATCTTCAAATATTAAGAGTAAAAAATTTACATGTTGCAATAAAATCTTCAGTTTATTAACATTTCTTAATGTAAACCAAGAAGTAAGCATGAATTAGGTTAACTTCTCAAAATGATGATGGTATCATGTAATGATAAGTCACTACCATATTGATATATGTTATCAGCAAAAAAAATAAAGTGAATGTGAATTTATGTAAGCTTTTGTTGAACACATGAATCATTGAACGTAATAAGCGTATAAGCAATATAAGCATCCAAAAATAAAAAAAGAATTGATAAGTTGTATTTGCAGAATTTTAGTGTATTGTAAATGTTTGGTACTGGACAACCAACATCATCGACATCGCAACCAGCAGGTGTTAATATTGCCATAGAAGCCTGTTCCGAGTGGGAGATTCAGGAAATCGGTTTTGATGGAGTTGAAAAATATATGCGGTATTTATTCTCTTGCGTTATATTTTGATGGAACTGAAATTTCTTTGATATTCCAAATGCTAATTTACTAATTAAATTATTTTATCGATAGATAAAATTTAATGGGTTGCATCTTCCGGATACTGTCATCAGATAAGTTCCGATCGTTCAATGATGTTGATTAGCATTTGATAACGAGTGATACAGGTTGAGATTGCTTGGTGCTATTTTACAATAAAGGAATATGATTCTTGGAAGTTCATATTTTCATTGCACAAATATCCATAGTAATGGTTAAAATATTCCTATAGAGTAGGTGTTGCTAACGAGATAAAAGGATGAAGTGGAACTATGTAAATTAAGCGAATCAAACTTTTAATAAATTTCTGACTTCTTTAATCTCATCAATTCTTCAGTTCTAGACTTTAGTCTGTCATTAACGCAATCTAATATTAATGAGATAGTAATTTTCAAATACGAGTTAATGTATTTTGCATTTGAAATATCTGCTTTCAGACCGTTGGATTATTCTGATCATGTAGCAAAATTAGCTCGTAAAGTGGATTGGAGAAAATTAATCGGAGCAGAAGCTACATACGATAATCCAGATGCGTTGCCACGTGATGATGGTGAAGAAGTTGAAGAGAAGGAACCCGAAGAAGTGATAATTGGAATGGAAGATCGTAAAACCCCAGAAGCTGGACCATGGCATATTGTTGCAAAACGCTTACAGTAAGTAACGATTCTAAGTAATTATCAACAAAAAATGTAAACACTCATGACTTGTGAGAAAATCAGCAGATTTTAATTAACTATTGGTTTTTATTATTTATTTCACAGTTCTCTTCTCAACAGTATCCTTTATATTATGTCAAACCACTTGGTAGATCCATCACCTAATCGAGTTTTCACGGTTATTATTAAGGTAAGAAAGATATTGTGCGAAATATGATGGAATGCATAGCTTGGTTATGTTCATTATTCATTGGTTTTTTACATCATTTTACGAATAATTATTACAGACTTTTAGTGCATTTTATTTTTTTTATTTTATAGCGAAGCACTGCAGCAAGTAAATGTTCTGGTAGATACGATTTCGGTATTAAAAACACCATATATGGAAGCACTAACAGTTGCGGATGCATTTGAAGCACAGCATAACATGCAAGATATGATACAGCAATCCAAACAATTTCAATGGGTTACAAGGCGTAAAGCTCTTGGTGAAGCGATTGGCGTTCTAGAACAAGCTCAAAAATTCCGCTCAAAGCTTCTTACTGAAACTGATCCTGATAAAGCGATGTTTTTTCGTGAACTCGAAAAAATGAGAGAATTATGGAGAGTGAGGAAAACAGGAAATGTTACTTATGGCGATCTTGGATATAAAATGTGTTAGTGATATCAGTTATTTTAGATATTTTTTATTATGTCCATATACTTATTTCTACCTGCAAAAAGAGCGGTTCTCGTCATTGTTGCCTCATCTAAATCTTCTTGTACAAATATTATCTTTGAGCTAACATTTTATGATCATTTTTATGTTCATTTTACAAATATATTTCTGTCATCTGAGCCAGCTTGTCACACTGTTTCTAACGTTTTTGTAGTCGGGCCAAAATACAACCCAAAAGAATTATTTGATATCACTCGACGTACGGGAACATCTGGTGGTGATGGTGGAAATCTGTCAGCACTATCTGAGTCATGTCTGCAAGTTCAAGTGCCATGTGATCTGATTCGCCGCTCTACTATTGCTGTTTCTATTGAAATTGGTTAGTTTGTAGTTTTTTTTTTTTTTTCTTATTTTTTTTTTTTCGTAATAATAGCAGTTTTATGGGAGCTACTTTTTAAAGTTTCATTTGAAATTTTTTTTATTCTTCATGGTCATTACTGTCTCGTAAGTAACTATATTGCCTTATACCTTAGTGTTTATGATCGAGATGCAATCAGTGAAGTATGAAATTTTTAATACCACTATCATTGACAGGTTCTATATTTAATGTCTAAGTAATCCTAATATTATACGTTGTATGAAGAATCCTTTTTTCTGTCGTCAATAACTAAATGAGAAAAAGAACATCTTCTAAAAAATAAATCATAAAAATGCATTTGTCCATGGAAGTCTTCGTTTAATTAACCAATAATTTTAGATAATGATGATCCGAAAACTTTGTTTGCAACTGCCGAAAACGATTTAGATTATATGAAAGTTGATAGAGAGCAGGCAATGAAAGTACACTGGTCGAAGGCATTACAGTGGGCACAAGAAAGCTTGTTATGCCGAGATATCTTTAAGCAGGTTCCTTTGAAATTTAGTATTGATGTACATTTTTTTTTTTTTTTTTTTAGCAATTTATGTGAATAGAATAAACTAGACGCTTTTGGTTTTAGTTTATTGTTTTCTTAATTATTATTATCTATTCTATATAATATTTAGACATGTAAGGCATTAGAATAATAATAATTTGACCCTAGTTTTAATGCAGATAGTAGATATTATAAATTTAAGTTGAATAAGTAAACTCCAGACTATTTTTCTCCATTCTTTAGAATCCTACATATTTCAGTTATGTAAAGATGCTGTTATTCTGAAAGATCGTATAACAGTAATTCGTGATGGTGTATTAATAGCTTCATTATTCGATAATATTTTGTTGCGAGTAGAGTTGGCATTTCATCCATTTGAAGATGGTAAGGACAGTCACGATTCTGTAATTCTGTAACTTGAGTACAAGTTTAAGTCTCGATATATGCAGTGACTTCAGTTTTAATTTTTGTTTGCTAAATTGAGCAATGATATATTGAGGAGAATTTCAAAGAAATTACTTTTATTAGTTTTAGGTCCTTTACCATCCATAGGCGACGATTATTTGAACCGCGCTCTTCGTCAGTTATTTTTAAGTGATCTATGTGCACGGAACATACGTCATCAGACATTTGTAGCTATGCCATTATCGGCATTACCGAACACGCTTGATTTACGAGGACCGTATGCTATGACTGATGAAGAGGTATGTTTTGGTGTTTATTCGGTAACTTGAATTAAGAAAATAAGTGATACTTGCATATAGTCGGTATTAACAATTGTTCGCAAACTGCAAAGAAATAAGCAGTTGAGTTGCAGTTTTGATTTTTCTGTAAAATTATTTCGTTTAGTTACATTAGTTTAGTAATTAATGCAATCAATTCAAAAAAAGAAAATTAATGAGTTGATATGATTTGCATAATCATATTTTATATGTAAAAAATGTACCATTTTGTGCTAAGAAAACAAGAGTTAATATTGACAAATGTATAACTTTTTTCAACTTTCAGATTGAATCTCGTTTAAGACAAAAGCGCACTTTGCTGGAACGATTGCTTTTATTGTCATCTCATTTCGTTTTAACAAATCGGGTTACAACTTCATTAAAGCGATATTTGCTTCGTGTTACAGATCCTCAGGTGCATTTATGTTACAAAAGAGGATACATTTTGAAGATTTGAAAATGAAGACAATTTTAGATAAAATTATTTCAGGTTATGTGGAAATGGCTTCGTGCTACACCTGTTCAGTCTTCAATTATTGTTACAGCATCCAATAGGAATTATGATTATGCCGGAAAGTACATATTTTAGAAAACTTAATACTTAGTTCAGCAAATCAATAAAATCTTAAGCGTCATTCAAGCTATGTAATAAGTTTCTGTCTTTCTTCTTTAAAAAAAAAAAAAAAAAAAAAGACATTATTTGCTGATTAAGATTTGTTTTATATAAGCTTTATTTTAAGAACAACATTTTATATACGAATTGGTGCGGAGAATTTTTATATTGCAACAAAAGAAGGCCAGAATATCGAATGTAGAAGAGATGACGAAATGCTCATTTATACGATTGACATGCTGGTAAATCTTAGATCTTGATTTTTTCTTGAAGAAAATATAATTTGAAACTTCCATTACATTGAAATTATGTTATAAAGGTATCATTTCAGACTGGAAAAAAAAGTATATATTTGTTCATACTAGAAAGGAAGCTGTAATAAAATTATGTTTTTGATAAATATATGAAGCAAAAATTAAGAACAACTTATTCTTCACATTAATTTATACAAAATTTTCCCTTTTTTCTTTATAATATCTAAAAATTATATATAACTTCCAGATTTGTAATTATATGTTGAATACGGTAGCAATGATAGCTAGTAAACTATGGCAATGGCAAGTACTTCATGCAAATATTAATGCAACAGATGATCGAGCAGAACCAAGTCCAACTGTTTACATGTGCAATCAGAGTGCTACTCGGTTATATTTTGCTCTTCTTATTGATCATTATGATTTTCTCTTTTGTTTCTTTTTTAAGTATTAATTTTGTAAATTAAATGGATACAGCGGTCAGTGATTATAGAAGAAGGAAAATTTGATGAATACCACAAAATATTTTAAATAAGATGATTCATGCACCACACGATATCTAAATTTTTTAGATATTATGTAGCACTAATCGTTCCTGATCAAAAAAAAAAAAAATCGACAATCTACCTTTCCAAAATTTTGAAGTCTGAATATTTCTTTTCGGAAAAAAGGTATAACTTCAGAGTGGAGAATTAGGGTGTTTGAGCATTTACCTAGTATTCAAATTTGAGAAAAAGATGTTTATCATCCGAATTGAAACACAAGAATTAAGCATTTCAGTGCAATTTTTATGCAATTTCATCTGAATGAACCGCCAACAATTCGTGTCCGAAAATGTTCACCAAATAAACCAGCATCTGCTGAACAACCGGGAGAATTTCTAGTTCTGAATTACGACCGATTGGTAGGATCGTCACTATGTCGGAAAATAGATAATTTATGCTCCATGTTAAAGAGTTAAATTCTTGTTTCTCTTTTTATTTTTTGTTAATAAGAACTTGGTTGGTTTTGTTGGAAAGAGGTAATCTGAAAGGAAGTGAATGAGTAATTTTTGAGTAAGCCTTTCATTCTGTTTCAGCTAGATTTGTATACTGTTTATATTGAATAGTTGTATATTTTCATGCGAAATTATGTCTTTATTCCTGTCTTGTTTTACAAAAAATATTCACATGTTAAAATAAAACAATTCAGGAATCTTTTATATTAGTTTCTTTGTTAGAAACTGCAGAAAATCTCGCCTCTAGTTGAAGTTATTTGTAACCAATCTGTGTTGATAACTGATATTATTTAGGAGATTTGGGAGCTCATCCAAACGCATTTTCAAAAAAAAAAAAAGAACAAAGAACAAAGGTAGTAGCTTTTTGTGTAAAATTTTTTTTAACAACATAAAACAATTTATACAATTAGAGCAAACAGTCAGAGGGGAAGAGGAAAGCCTTTACTACATAAAACGCTTTTGTTAGCAAAAATGAAAACAGATTCATCAAAATAGGCGAACACAGAAGAAACAAGTAAATTTTCAACTTTGTTCTGCAGCTTACATAATAATAACTAACTTTTGAACGGTCCAAAGAAAATAGAGAGACCGAGAAAAGTATATTAACTTACAAACAATTATATTTCTTTCTCGGAAAAGGGAATGCGGGCAAGAAATCGAAATTAATGATGCCAGGAGATCAACTAACATCTGACGTAGTGCAGTCGAATTTCTAATTTATACAGAAAACCGAATGAAAAATCCAGCTGTCTAACTTATTTAGATTATAGTTGTGCCGTGATAAAGTCAAAAGTTCCTAATTTAAACTTATGGCCGATACTGGACGCATTCAACATAGGACGAATGGACTCTAGCAAAATGACACAAGTAAATCCTTTGCATTATAAGTTCTTAAGATTATTGTGGACAATAAATTCCCAAGGAAATATTTCCAATAACTTCAAAACTTATACGAAAATTTACAGTTAATCCTGATATCCTATTCTTCCCTTTTCTACTTGTAATGTATTTCACGGTTACAGATATGATTTTAACAACTTTAAATTCTTATTAAAATGAAACTTACTGGTAAAACTAATCTTCCTAACCTTTCCGTATTCATGTCAATGATAAAACTGAGAAAGTTTCAAAAAAAGAACCACTAATCACAAGCTATAAAAGCATGACATAATCATGACCACAATTGCACATAATTCTTGTGAACGGTCATAAATTTTTTTGACTCTCTGACGGACTGCGCTTGGCTGCTGCAAGCTTACTTTGGTAGGCACTACACGGTCGTCGACTTGGAGAGGTCGACAGTGCTGTGACTGATGCTGTAGGACTGGAACCAGATGGTGATGCTGGCAAAGATGCTGATGAGACCTGAAAAATAGCTAAGCGACATCAATCGGAATCTTACATGAGTGAAACTCTAATCTTCGAATACCTTTTTTTCGAAAGTGAACAGGTACTGATGATTACTTACTTGAATAAAGGGTTATTTATATTACAAATTTCGTAATGAATTATCGACATCGAATGACACTTTTTTGGCAACAACGGAATAAATTTCAACAACAAGCAAGAAATCCATTCAAATTTCAGCAAAATATCCGACCTCCAAATACTTCTGTATCGCATCAAATGCTGCCGATAACCGGTCCAGTTGATCAGTTACTGTCCCCGTACAATCTTTCACCGGCTTAATAGCCATTTCCAGTAAATTCTCCACTGATTCCGACAAATGTCCTTGATGAGAATTCCTGAAGCATGAAATTTAGTACTAACTCAATCATTACTGGACAAATTGCAATTTATACAGTGATGAAAAGCCACTATTTTGAACTTTTCACTATTTATAATCATCTTATCTTGAAAAAATTAAGCCTTGTTCAGTTACTCCTAATGTATCTAAGATGAACGGTTTGTTGTACTGATAAGCTACTAAATAGCAGAACTATCCCTTATAATCAAAAAAGAAAGAAACAAGTAATATTTGAGGGAAAAAAAAAATGAAACAAAAATCATTTGCTTACCTTATCAATTCAATGCTTCGATTACATTTCATAGTAAGTTGTTGTACGGCACTTTCAAGACCATCTATACGAGTCTAAAATTTGCCTTCTATAAAAATTCTTAACATCAAAAATTTCCTCTATTTCCCTTTCCTATCTCAAAAAATTCACTACGAAAAATTACAGGAAATGTATATACTACCTTGCTCTGAAAATACTTAATTCTTGAAAAATAATCTGAATAACGCATTAACCTGATCCTGAGTAACTTCAGAAGAGCGTAGTTTATTCAAATCCCTCGTAATACCTTTTGAATAATTGACAAGAATTGTTTCCGGTCCACAAGAGGCATTATTGACTGATAAGTCATCTTGCGATCGGTTGTGACGAGCTTTATTTGAATTCCGGATGATCTGAAAGATCAAGATTTTAATCTTAAGGAAGCTAAAGCTTGAAATGAGCACCTCAATCTATTTTGGAAGTTTAAATGTTCAGAAATCTAATTACTTTAATAAGAAAATTAAATAGTACGAAAACTGGAGCAATTTCAGTGCGTATACAAAAAAAAAAAAAAAAGTGGAAAACGAATATATATGTTAGAGTAATAACAAAATAGATAATCTGTTGAGAACATAAATAGTGTCTATAACTTAACTAAGAATAAACTTAACTAAACATTATATCACAGAAAACTAAACATTATCACAGAAACTTAGCTAAACATTATATCACAGAAACTATACTATGAAGTAGGGCTGATTTTATACTGAACTAACTGAATTCAACAATTCATATAACATGAAATGACAAGTAATCTCAATGAGTAAATAAGGAATAAAAACAAAAATAACTTACAGGTAGCACATTGGTAAAAGGTCGAGTCCCTTGATGAAATGATATTGAACGGTTTGATGCAAATTTGTCCGCTCTGAAATATAATTTCAGTTTGTTCAATTATTCATTAAAGAAAATAAATGTCTCGCTAAACAATAAAAAAAGTCACAACGATAGCAAACACTGAGACTGTAAAATAGGATACATTACAAGACATTCCAAATGACATATAATCTAGTATCCATATCCTTGTTTCTCATTTTCAGCAAAAAATTTAGTACTGCAAAGACAGTTCGGAATTCATCGCTCCTAACAATAATAAAACTATGTCTTCTAAATTATCTAAAGATCTTTTAGACAAAATTTCAAATTTCCGTTTAATACTGACTACAAAAGGAAAAAAAAAATTCGAGAAATACTTGAACATTAGAAGTTAGGGATGAAATAAGGCAAAAAAAAAAAAGACTAAATTATAACACAACTACAAGTAATAATTGATAACACTTTATGGATATTCAGCAAAGCACTGATAAACATGCATCTGATAAACAAAATTTAACTATGATAACAATAAAATTTTGAAAAAAGCTTACTCCTTTTGACAGTTCTGACATTCGTGGGAGATGTTTTGTAAGCTAACATAAGATCAACATAAGCCAAATTTTTAAACATTTGCAGAAACAAAAATTTTGAAAATTACTGGAAATTTTACGAGATCAGGTAAAAAGTTTATGATAGTTTTTGATCAATCATGAAAAGTTCTTTTTAGCAGATTTCTTATAATGGAATATTTTATTTAATTTCCTCCTACTTCTCATCTGTAGTTTCTCTCTCTCTCTCTCTAAATTAAAAATTTGAAGTGAACAAAATTTTGAATTGAAAATCCTCGAAATAAAATAGTTCTAAATTAAAATGGAAAAAGAAATATCACAAGAAAGAAGTTGAAATTTTACCGTGTTTTCAGTTGCTGTAATTTCTTTGCCTCAGCTGCTGCCTTCATCGGATTATAATCCTTACGTCTTAGCCAAGCCGTCATCTCAGCACTTTCCTTCTGTGCTTTTATTCCACTTGCCTTAAAAGTTAATCAACAATCTTCAAATATTTTCGAAAATTGAAGGAGTTATGTAAATCTTAAAGCAAATTAAGACGGATATTCACAGTAGTCATCATCAACGTCATAAATCAAATATGTTGGATACGCACTATAAATATGATAATTTAACACAATTTAATGAAACCATCACAACAATGCAATTATTGTCGACTTGTTGAGAGATTCTATTTTAATTTCCCTCGACGAATGAATTTTTTTTAACTGTATTTCATATACGTTTATAAAATAAATTTAATAACATAAGATTTGATTTTTCAGATGAGATTTTGAAAATAAATACTATTTCATACACTGATAATTATGATCTGCTAGGCGATATCAAAAGATTTTTGTAAGAAACAAATTAATAACAATGAAAAGTGGAAGACAAGAATAAAATACAACTGATCTATGATACCAATATTTGAGAAACAATAAGAATAAACCAAACGAAACTTTAATATTCTGTTACAAAATAAAGTTAAAAATTTGAAATAAAAAATGCGTCAACGATTTTTACCTGATTTCTTCCACTCCCTCCAACACGGAATGGCGGTCTATCGCTCCGATTGATTGTCGCAGGAGTTGGATGATTCTTATTGCTAATAGCAGAAAATCGCATCGAATATCGACCACCATCACCACGCCTGAAATTTAGAAAAAAAAAGTTACATTTACATAACCTGAATTTTAACAAATAAACAGTAAATTGGCAGTTTTGAAGAAATTTTGAAATGATTGTTTTCTTCCTTCCATATGTTGCGAGTTTTTAATATATATATTTCTCCTTCCATATGTTGCCAGTTTATATATATATATATATATATATATATATATATATATATAGCAATATTTTGACAAAAATTTGGTATATTAATTAATCATGTTAAATCGTCCTCTTTTGTTAAAAATGGACAAAATAGAAACGAAAAAAAAGAAAGCAACACATAGAAACGAAAAATAGTACAAATGTTTTAACTTTCTTTTTTAATTAATTAAATAAAATTAATATTTAAAAAAATCTATAATATGCAAAAGTATGATATGCCATCGTACAACATGCAACATATTATTGAACAAAAATTGTTACCCATGCTTGTTACTGACGATAAATGCAAATTGCATGTGCAGTTGCAAAAAGATATATAAGAAAAATGGTGGAAAATATAAGAAACTCTATTTATTGACATCATATGCTTTTCTCCTCTTTTTAACCAACAATTCTTTTTCCAAAATTTGCTTATTTATTTTTAAAATACATTCAATGTATAAGAGGATTTTTTCATCCCTTTATGAATTAAACAACCATTCATAATTATTAGTTAGTGGCCAATACCATCCCAATATAAATCTTTTTCTTGCAGTAATTGGGTGTTTTTTTTTGTTAGGAAAATAAAAAAAAAAAAAAGGTATCCTTGCATGCATATACAAAATAAACAACAATACAATATAAAAATACTCACGTTTCACTGCGACATCTCACCATCCTGTTTTAAAGTGAAAAGAAAAAGCTCAATAAGAAATGAAGAAATGAAGGTAGTTGAATTATATCAAAATCTAATTACCACTAGAAATTAATTATTTTACATGAAAAAAAAAGTAAACCATGAATTAGTATTCTTGTTTTTTTTTTTTTTTTCTTTTTTTTTAATATAAAAAACGCTTAAAAATTAATGTGAAAAGTTATTACAAATTAAAAAGAATAAAAAAGCAACGTTATATTATTTTAAAAGCATGAATATTCTCAAAAGCTTGCTATAAGTTTAATTGTATTAACCGACTAAGCGTAAGTCTTCCACACAACTCATGACTTAACCACAATCTTCTGCATGGATTCACTTACAACTATTTCTATTTAGCAGTCATGTTATCGAAAAATAACTTTACAGATTCAAAGCATAGTATCAGGAAATGGCATGATTTATCATAGTTATCATTATAGTTACATATCATTTGCCCAGTGTCTTGAATTAAGGGTGACGTATTAAAAAAGATAAAAATAAAGCTTACAGACAGTAGTTATTGCTGCTCTTCAGTTAAAATCTTTTGGGTTTCTTAGAAAGGACAAGATGTGCAAGATTTAACATCCAATTTACATTAATTATTAGAGAGCAAGGATAATGTGTGATATACAATTGTTAAAATTAATTATGAAGAATGATTAACTCTGATTAGCATTTTTCTTCAATATTCACGATTCAAGAAGGAAATATTTAAAAAATCCTTATTTATAATGTATTATTAATTCATCCAACCTAAATACCTGAAGGTATTATCATTCATTCCACTTGCACCAGCAGTCGGTTGTGTACGATGCACTTGGGATGACAGTGCTGTACGTGAAGATGATGCCATGGTACATAAACGATGCGAATTATACTGACGTTCTTCTCCTTTAGCAGTGTCTGGACGACGTGGAATCCTTACATGAGACCCCGTTGCAGCAGTTAGACGAGATGAATTCGAAAGTGGTGGTGTAGATGGTGCAACAACTTGATGTTCACCGATATCACGACGTTGAGCAACTCGTCCCGAATTAAGACGCAACAGATCACTCAAGAGATGTTCGTTATTTTCTGTTTCACCACCTGTGTTGCTAACATTCTCATTGATTTGAGGCAAAATCTGAAACAAGCAGTTGAAATACAAAATTTAAGCACATGTAAGTAAATAAGAAGTACAGAAAAAAATTGCCGAATCAACCGAAACGTTGTTTGATTGATTCCATTATAACGGTCTATAAAAAAAAAGTGGAAGAAACTATACTTAAAGATATCAAAAGCTACAAAAAAATACCTACCGATCCCATGCGCATTGGCATAGTAGGACGAAGATTTTCTGTGCTTTGGGTTGTCGTCGACTCACTAAAAATAAAAACCAAGTTTGTATGGAAAAACTAACTGGTTCACAAAAAATCAATAAACCTGAGACATCATAAAAAAAACATGATCATATATTCCGATCTAAGCTTACAACAGAAAAATGATACCTTGAAACACTTTCTGCATCGGAATCTTTAACAGTCTGTGAAGTCACCATTTGATTCGCATGATCACCATCTTAAAATTACTCATGTTAAAAACACGATAAGGGACAATGCAGTATTATATCATGCCATTTTCTACAGGCGTCTACATTACCACGTCTATATGAGTTATGTGACTGATGGAAAGATCAAAATTATTGCAGATCGAGGAGTACAGGTGATAATATAAGAATGAAAACCAGTGAAAAAAAGACAGCTGATTTGATCAAAATGATAAAATGCATTAAATGTCTTGTGATTTTTACATTGAAAGAAATTCATAAAAAAGACCAAAAAATCAAATAGTGATGAAAAGTTTTGATCAAAAAATTTGGATAAACCTGAACAAAAATTTTGCAACAAATCTTTAGAATAGGTCTTTCTACCCAATCAAGTATATATATGTGTTTTTTGCAATATTTAATTAGCGCTGACCAACAACATAAGTCCCTGCTTCACTTAATGTATCGTCAGTATCTGGTTTTTTTCCTCCATGTTCGCATGATGAGATCACATCTGTCTCTTCATTGCATTCTAAAGGTTAAAGGTTAAATTTACAGTTGATATAGGGGTTTTCAAAAGAAACTACTCACAGAACTTTCTTCTTGCTTCAGTTTGAGGGAGCTTCGATCTCAATGATCATAGAATTTCGATACTTAAGTAAAAGTCACACGTTGCTTTTCTAAGAAAAAAATTTTTTTCTAAAATTTCAAAATTTCCTGAACAGCTACCACATTCAAATGTATTTACATCTTATCTATCTTATCAAATTAAATAAATTTAAAATTGAATCTTTTACCTTCGCCAATTCCCATCAACATTTTATTCAGCAAATATTGCTTCGGATCACTAGATGCAGCTGTTAAACCGGCTATTTTGGCTGCAGTACCTTTAGAAACTAATCCAGATGCTGGCATACTTCTTCTCATAAAACGCCTAGAAACATGCAGTTTCGATGGTTATCTGTTATTGACATACAACAATCCTATCAATCATCTTACTCAAAATCATAAGCAATATTTTTATTTTTATTATTTTTTGCAAATAACAACATTATAAACACACATCTAAGTTCAGTCACAAGAGTAATAAAACACTGAAATTGGAACTCAAATTTGAGAATAAGACTTGTTTCAAAACAAAAATTTATATGCAATATTACTGCGTATGCTTCAAATTAAGATCATCAAATTTTGAAACGACTTTGCCCACCTGGATGAAGTTTTCTTAGCAGCATCTTGAAGTGATAAATTCACTTTCTGTGAATCTTCTTCACTGTCAAAGGAGACAGTAAATGCAGTTGAAGAAAATGTACGTTGAGCAACTGCAAATTTCTGAGCCTGATGAGTTTAAATTAGAACCCCAAAGTTGAACCACCGATGGTTTATTTCAAATTAAAAAATTAATCAAGAATAATTAGTAGCTTACTTAATACTAAAACTAACCTTTAGCTTTGTTCTCTCTTTTTGCTTCTTCATCGATAAAAGGCTCATTTAAGTCAATATCCATCCTAATCGATTTTAATGGCCGATGAGCATTTCCCGTAGTTGTATCCCTATAATGAAATAAATAAAAATTCCGAAGTTTTGTTAAATTCTGAATTCAAATTCATTTGCCTAAATCAATTTAGAAAACGAAAACTGTAACTTACAAGCAATTAAAATTACACATTAATAGATACATACAAACAATATAAAGAAATTGAATAGCAAGATGATGAGAGACTGGAATATAAATGAGAAACTAAAGAAGAAACCATAAAAATTTCCAGCTTGTTTTTTGTTATAAACAGTTGCTTTTCATTACTTCCGTACGCGACAAAACAAATTAATTACAGTCAGCAAGGGTAGTAATAGTAGAATTAGCTGATGCCAAAATATTTAACCTAATTGAAGAGATAAAGGAGTTTCAATAACATGAAGCAATAGGTCAAAATCAGCATAAACAGAAAGTTAAAATTGAATTCGAAAAGAAATTTGGAGAAATATTTCAAAAGAAAGCAATATATTTCAAAAAGAAAACTGGAAGATAATTTAAGCATTTTCACCTCGTGTTTTCGCCATCATTTTGTACTTTTACACTGGAAGTACCATTTTCACCCCACCATGTTGGTGCAGAACCAAATAATGGCGTCCTTTCACCGTCTTTTGTTTGAGCCTATAAAAACAATCACTGCTATCATTATATCCTCAGCCATCAACATCGTAATTTTAAAAATCTTGAATCAATAAACAGTAGTTTTTTTTTTTTTTTTTTTTTCAGCAAGCATCGTTTTCCTACTACCCATTAAGAAATCTCTTATGATAAAACCATTCCTGTTTTTTTCTTTTACTGAATTCATTTCAAAAGATGTAACGATACTCACAATGAATTGAAGCATTTCAGTTCCTTAATCTATGGTTTTATTTATTTATTTTTTCTCCTTCATGACAATCTTTTAAATCAATAATTTGTCGTAAAAAGGTCATTTGAAAATTTCATACGATCATGACAAATTAATATGGTCATTTTACAAAGACAAATTAAAATGTATTATGAAACTTGCTACTATAAGTACTACAAACTGGCTTATTCTTCAACAACTGTGCTATAATTCTTAGGTCGATATTGTTAATAAAAATTTTTGCAAAATCCCAAATAAATCTTCATTTCGCAGAAGATGCAGCAATGTATCCACACTTACATGGCTTATAGTGACAGTACTGGTGGAAATGACTGGCTTACTAACAACTTCTTGATATGTGGTAGCCTCTTGCGGACGCATTTGTGTAGAAGTATTTTGAGAATTACCCAACGGTGTAGTTGCCAAATTATCGAATATTAAGCAATTTTGAGATAAAATAGGTGAAGCATGTGGAGGTGAGATGGCTGAAAAAGGTTTATATGTCATGTCATTAAGAGGAAAAACAGATAATTTAAATTCCATGAGTATGCAATTCTAAATCCAGTGATAAAACTCATAAAATCTGAAAATAATCTATTTACAAGCTTAAAATGCACTGGTAGATTTACAATTTTTTGAAACAAGAATTTGTTTTGCATCCACCGCACGACTTCTTATTGTCGACATTATTGGATGCTCGAAAACTGTATGCCTTTCATCAGTTGTTACAGTTGATCTGAAAGCAAGCAAATAGTATTGTATGAAAATAGATCAATAAAAAAATAGAGCACATATTTCTAATTACCATATGTACGTGCGAATCTATAATTGCGACAACTTTGGATGTAGTAAATAACTCCCTTTGGAGTAAATTAGTTTCAGTCTCATAAATTTATCTAAAATTTACTTTTGTAGCCAATACTTGGCTCTGAAATTATAAAATTTCCAAAGAAGAAATTACCTGGTGTCATCGAAATCAGCAACATTATGTACATAACATCCAGTGGTACTTTGAGCAGTTGTCACCAGCGGTGGTGTTGAAGAAAACCGCTGTCCAAGCGCCATATGTGATGGTGCTATCTGATTTCCGGCTTGGGAAGCGGTTATAGGTGTAGCAGCTACGACATATGCACCTGTAGTTAAAAAGAATCTACTTAAGATCCCAATTTTTTGGCAAAGATAAGATAATGCAAAAAAAAAATTAAAGAACTGAATTCTTTGGCATAATCATTCATAAATAGCTTCGAGTAACCACAAAACCGGAAAATACTATGAAGAGCTAAGAAAAAATACAATGGGGAACTAATTTTCTTTAGGCAGTGCTAAAAATAACACATTAATAAATTTTATATGTCAGTTTAACATGGTTCATATAAAAGGATTAAATGTAAGTTATAGCAATCAGCTAACCATGAGCTCCGGATGTAAAAGGATGATAATAAACAGGTTGTGCTGGCGTAGCAGAGTAATAAACCGGCTGATAGATTATTTGTGGATGTGGTGCTGGTGGTGCAGAAGATATCAAAAAATGCTGACCGGTTGTTGGATCGATCAAAATCTGATGACTACCGAGTGGAGCAGCTGTTGGTGGACATCTTCAAACTTTTACATTAAGGTATCGAACAAATAAGAAGTTTCAAAGTTTCAAAATCATGAGATTTCCAAAAATTTTTACAGCTACATTATATGCATAAATACCTGCATTTCAAAATATCTCCCGGTGTTAGCTAAAAATTAATCTGATTTCATTAATCTGTCTGTTTCTGAGGTATATTATGCACTCAAAAAAAAAAAAAAAAAAACAAAAAACAAAAGAACAAAAGAAAAGAAATTTAAAATGAATTTACAAAAATGAATTCACTTCGTAAATATCGTAACTGAATGGAATTAGTTAAGAAAAGAATTAAATAAATAAAGTAAACAATTCCAATAATAGCATGCTTAATATTGGTATGATCATTCCAGTGTAAAAAAAAAAAAAAAAAAATTGAAGTAGAACAGCTTATAAGAACATATAACACTTTCTTTTTCTGACGAGAGAGGTAAATGTTTAAGCTAAACTCATCCACAATAAGGAATTCGTTATTATCAAACATTCGCTACTACAAAAACATTGCATCTTAACTCTGCCAAGAGATGCCTTTATATGGATATAGTGATTTCGGGTAAATATAGATATTATTACTTAAATTACACTCATTGTAATTTTTCCACATTATTTATTTATTTTTTTTTTAACAAGTTAACTTACATTTGTGACAGTGTAACGGGTATTGTAGTAGTAGTTTGCTGACCAGTAATTGTTGGCGATGTTACTGCTGTAATATCGTGCATCAGCGATATTGGAGGTGAAATCGATGAATGAGCCGAACCAACACTAGGACTTTCCTGGTTATCAGAACCCTATTCAAATAGAAATATAAAAAAAGTATTATGAAACAAAAAAAAAAAAAAATGCAATAAAATAATAAACTATTAATCAATTTTACTGAGAGTTCAACAATATGAAAAGATTAATCAATCATTTGTATATTCCCATCACCCAAATATAGAATGCTAATTCAATTTTTCTTCTTATTTCACTTACCCGTAACTCATTTTCGAGAATTCGAGAAATAACTGTCATTTAACATTTCACTAAAGTTCGACTAGATTGAAACTTTCATCCTTCAATTATAAAAATCTTAAAGCATACGCATAATACTACATTATTATTTTCTGAAATCATTCAGTCCATTTTTACAGTAAAAAAAAACTCACACATTTGTAGGCATGAAAAGAAACTAGTTTTGTGAAAGCCTGTTTGGTTATTTAAATGGTAATTAGATTTGACGAACAATCTAGCATATTGTTAAAACAAATGATTTGCCTATTCTCTCTCTGATAATTATCAGAAGCCGCGTAGATCTTCCTTAAAAGTTACCATTCTAAACCAACAACACGAAAACTAGGTATGAAAAAACTTTTTTCAAAATATAAATTTTTTCCCACCTAAAATCTAAATCTTTTGAATTTAAACTTCAATGGAGAAATTTCCATATATCATATTCCATTAAATATGCTCAGAATCTGGCGATGAGATTAGGTATTTTTGTGGAATGTAATTAAAAAGAACATAAAATCAATTTCAAACTTGATTTTTTTTTAATTTTTTTTTGATTTTTTAAAATAGCAACTAATATGATGGCAATACCATATTCGTTTTCAAATCAGTAAAAAAGAAAATAATTTTTCCAGCTAAAAAGATGCAGAAATTTTAGCCAATTAATGATCATTTAGATTAATAGTATTCGGTATAACTAGCATATCTGTTAACATCATAATAATCTCACATATAATGAGAGTGATAATTATGCAAGCGTAATATAATCAATGTCGTTGCTTCAATTCTGAACTAAATTAATAAAGTTTTGCACCATCATATCATCATCAAATAGAACAAACTGTGCTCAAGTACATAATATTAATGTAGATTTCATTACTACAAATCCAAGAATCAATCTAATAATCACTTATATCCTCTCTTCTCCTGCTAATTGCTATTAGTCGTCACTAATCGTCACCGTCAATAATTTTACTAACATTGAAAAGAAAAAAGATCAAAAGGAAAAAAGAAAAAACTTATAAATATTAAAACTATTTCATATTTAAATATTAAAAATCAAAATTGTGCAAATATATATATATATACTATATGTTTTAAAAGTTGAAACGAACTGATAAACACCAATTGAATGAAATCAACTATGAATAGGCTTATTAATAGATGAAGTAGAATGAATACAACGACATGATAACTAAAACATGACACGGATGATCAACCATTGTTAAGGATACTATTGTGTGACGACTATTTATGGCGTCCGTTTGTAGTATGTAATAAATGCTCAAATAGGGCATTAAAAGAGCTGGTAACAGTGTGACAAAGAATGGATTAAAAACATAAACGACAAACAAATAAAATGCATTTTCTCAAAGACAATTGTGATTGAAGTGAAGTATAATTACGTCTAACTTATGACCACGTTTAACGTGACATACGCTACTAACGTAATGTAAGAATGAAAAAGAATGAGAGCAAGAAATCAGTATGGTGTAATATTTGAAATAAAATTACATATGCAAAGCTTGTCTTAATGAAAACATACTGCCATAATGCAATCATGAAAGACGCATAAAGTAATGGAAAGAGAGAAAAAGAATGGAGGAAGGAAAGATTGATTAATTGACCTTGTCAGTTGTATCAATTATATATTTTTTCATAAAAGTTGTAAAGAAAAAAAATCAATATAGTATAACGTATTTCATTTCAATAAACTGACCCACTCTAATTACTCTCTAAAATCTTTATTTAAAAAAAAAAAAGTTATATCGATAAATTATATGGAATGATAATAATAATAACAGTGAAACTAAGAATACAGTAAACAGTCAAGTTATCCATAAATTAATGAAATAAACGATAAATATCACCAGTCATTATCACCCACTATATAAAGATTTATTGGTGGTAATTGTATGCAAAAGTAAAAAACTGTTTTCATTTATTTATTCTTTTTTAAATTTTATAGATAAAAAAAATCTTTTTCATCTCTTGCCGCTTTAACTTTCCAATAAATACAGGGAGCAGTTAGTTCACTACAGCAAAACGAAAAGAGGTAAGAGTGTTTAGAAACAAGATAACACAATATTTCTATCTTCATTGTTCAGTTTTCAAGGTAAGAATATCCAAACGGTGAAACCGTTAACCTCCATAAGATTATTGCTCTCTTAGTGTAAAATATATAATTAAAATACGAGAGAAAAAATAAAGAGCAACAAAAATGGACGAACCCAATTCTCCGAAAAAAAAAAAGTGCTCACTCATCTCATCTTTCCACATCAATGAAAATGAATGGAAGAAATGATACTTTTTCCAATTTTTTAAATCACCAATATTAATTAACAAATTTCATGATCTTTTTCAATGTTCTTTTTATGGATTTATCATATATAATAACTTTATCAATTTATCATATGTAATAACTTTTTAGAAGAAAAATAATGGAAATTAACCATGATGGAAAAAAAAAAAATTTGAATTTGAAAGAAGTGAAAAAGATGGAATGGATGAAAAAATTACCACCAGTTTAACTATAATTAATATGCAGTTAACAAATTTGTTTGCATCCATTTCTTTTCGGACAATTGATTATGAAAATCAATTAAACTTGCATCATTTCTGATGTACACTTAAACCATACAGAAATACAGAAAATGTGAATGCCTCAGGATTTTATTAATTTGGCTGAAAGACATACCCACTATACTAATCTAAATTCACACAGTACTTTTTTCTTAGACATTCTGTTGGAATTTACCAAAAATAAGAAAAAAATTTATCAAGTTTGCTCTTATAACTCAAATTCAACAATGCAAAGGAACAATATTTAGTAGCTCCAAATTTCAAAATAGTATTCCAACAAATGATAATTCTTCAATTCCATTTAATTCATATTGCAATTATTAGCCTATTCGCTTCCTTATTTACTCATTGCATTTATGTTTATTACCATATTCGCTTGCTGAAATCCGATTTGATGAATGGAAAAAAGTGTCATTCACCTGCATGAAAGTATCCACTTTACGTGGTGTATCATCTTGAGTTCCTTGTATATTTCCACCAACACTTAGCGGATCGGTCGAATTCATTTTATCGAAATTGTTTTCGACGTTTAGGCCTAAAAAAATAATAAAATAAACGATGCTGATGTACTAAATTCTAGATCACATTATAATTTGTTATCTATATTGCACTACACTACATTATAAAGTCCCCAGCATACAACATCGTAGTGCGCTGTAAGCATCCATGAATATTTGAATAATCACATCAATAATGTTTCACAAAACACTTTCAATTCCGTGTCATTACAATTTAAAATCAAACGAATTTCATTTTATGACTTTTGTAAAGCTAATACAACCTCATAAAATCGCAAAATATGACTCAGTGCTATGATTAACTTTGCTATCTTTAGCACTCACTTTATTAATCATTCTAATACCTTAGCTAATAGCTTTATCAGTGACACTACCTAATAGGAAAATGATATGATAATGAAAATTTACAATAAAATGTTCCTTGTCTTAGAAAAAATGCATAAACAATTCAAATACTTTTAAAAAAAGATAGGGTAGAGGTAATGCCGTCAGCCAAGTTCCTTCAAAAATTAAAATCCAAAAACTTATTTCCTTGTTTTTATTTCTTTTACAGTAACCGAACAAGATGTAATGGGCACTTTTTTTTTTAACAACTTATGAAAATTATAAAAAAGTTACAAATTATAACTCACCGAAATGATGATATTTATGGTAGGAATATTGTTGTTTCGTATACAAAGACCAATTAAATTTGAAAAGCATCTTTTCTCTTCCACGTTTTTAATTTTTTTTTCTCTCAGGTAATGAATTAAATGAATTTTAAGTAATTTATTATTTTCGTTTTTAAATCAGATCCGGAAGAAAATTAAAATTCTATCAATTCAAGTGCCTGGTTTTCTTTAGATGCACAATGTTAATAATAATAGTAAAAATATGATGCCGTTTTGGTAGTTGAAATAAAAATATGGTAGTGTAAGAAAGCAATGACGTGATATAGTAACTGTCACACTTGTATAAAATGCAATAGCAATGATGATGATTATTAATCTGTTTAATAAAATATCCAAATAATCATTGAAAAATTTAATTAAAGCGAAACATAAATCAGTGAGCGAGTAATTTACCACTAAACTAACTGGTAATATATTTGAGTAGCTGGGCAGAAGTATATTTAAGATTGAGACGAAAGCGAAACAAAATATGATTGAAGTTAGAAAAATGGATTGATGACACTTCTTGATTTTTGCAATGTTTGTTGTATACAGTAGAATTGAAGAGGAGAAGAAAAGCTTTCAGCTATCTTATTTTTTCTGCCTTTCCAATATCACCGAATCATTTCTCTCATGTATCTAAGCATACATCACTAATATTTTGATCATCTTTATAAACTGAATATACAAAAAAAACAAAATCTATATAAAATTGAATGTGTGCATAATTTTGAAATAAATAAAGTTAGAAATTAATTTAAAATATAACTAATAATGGGAAATATATAGAGAGGAAATTCATAAAATACAAAAATTTTATTTCAAATAATCACAATAACTTTTAACGTAAACTAATGAAATTATTTCAAGTGTGCTTCATTTTAGATGTAAAGAACAATGCGAAGAACATAGCAAACAAGCAATATGCACATGCAGAAGTCTTTATTCACATAGAAAAATTGATAACTAGTGATACAATTG